AACTTAGTTCTATAAATCTAGAATTTTAAAATAGTTTAATATATAATAATTATAAAATTATTAATTATTAAAAATTGCTTTTTTCTATTTTTACTTTTAATATAACTTTATTAATATAAAATATTAAACTATTTTTAAATTCTAAAATTATAAAAAATACTTTTTTCTATATTTTTTATATATAAAGTTTTTATATAGCTTTACTATATAATTAGTTATTAAATAAATAAAAATTAGATTTTTAGCTTTTTTACTAGTAAAAAGTGGTTCATCGGCTGCCGCGGTTCATCGGCTGTCCTACCTCGGTATATCTACCCCGGAATGCTCATATGAGATGCCGTTAGTGGCAGGTTTCCTCAATAATTGATGGATAACGTTATAGAGCGTCCGGGCTTCCTTCGTTATGCGCGCGATCTTTCCAACCTCCAGACAGCGTACTTGGCCGCTACCTGCCAGTTTCGCATGACATTCTGAGCATGCTGTGCATGTGAAGTCAATAAACGTTCGCCATGGTAGAATTCCGGGCTGCACATGTCGGCATCTATAAGAGCGACACATCACGCGGCTTTTCCTACATCGCCGTCAACAAGTCGGGTTAGACAGATACCCTTAGGCGTCCTCAGGTGATGGCTCTCGCATGCGGGATGCTTTTCTTTGGAGTTATTTAGGGTAGATGAAATGAATCTGAGAACTTTCGTGATGTTCCACCTATAGGATCATCTACTTGCTTGTATCTGACAATGAAAATAAGAGCCGTGACGGCGGTGGAGACAATATCATCGGCTATGGACTTTATTGGCGACGCTGAAGTAGAACACAACCTACTACAGAAGTTTGAGAGGCGTTCTTTAAATTTCGAAATAGAGGGAGAAGAAGAAGAAGCGAGAAGTAGACGATGCGTTGTTGGTTTGGTGGGGTAAGTACAGTCAGCCGAACCCCGAATTTATACCGAACACAAGGCATCCCGTAGCCTGGAGATGTCTATCATATTCGATCAACGGGGAGTTGGTAACGTCATTCGCCATGAGGCTGCAGGTCGACCATGAGTCTACCATCATCTCAACCTTCAACAAAGGCAGTCACTTATCAATACCGCCCCTTGAGCCGGAATGAGATTCGGATCATCGCATTACTGCCCGCAACAAGCTTCAACGACGGCTTTGCTATCATCTTAGAACGCCGCGTACGGACTAATTTTTCTTGGTCACCTTCATAAGGTGTTTACTAGGCCGTATCATATGCTTTGGGATCCAATCTCGAAGAAGAAACATTCAACGTGGCTGAAGCTGGCGTTCTGAAAATCGTACTAGCTTCGGCTTTCTGAGAGCAGAGATGAAGCATGGGCTTATTACAGCGACAAGCAAAAAAAAAGCTGTCTGAAGGACCAAAATCATTCCAAAAGATACCAATTGGCCGCGATGTTAGGAAGATACACTTCACGTCCACGACCATCCTGCTCCCCCACAGGTCTTTATAAGACTCGAAGTAACGCCAAATGAATGCCATCTCTCGGGTAACCCTGTCTTTCAGATCATTCTCGAGTTCTCTACAGATAGCGAACGGCCGATAACGATCGATTTATTACAAACTCCACTCTCGAGCTTTCTATTTGACTTCAATAGCGTCTCGCAGCTAATATATTGCGAGGATGCCGAAACGGGAGAAGGAGTCAACTGGCCAGAACATTTTGGCGTTTTGACGAGGATCCTCATCTGTCGTTCCCCGAGGATTCTGATTTTATGGAAATCCTGCCCGATGAACCCTGGCAATTCGAGTTCATATTGGAGAAGGAGAGCCCTAGTCATGTTGATGGTCTCGAGTACCTTGAGCTTGATAGAACATATAATGCTCAGATTGCTACGGACCTCCTTCGGGGGTTTTCAAGCTGGATGTTTGGGCGGAAGAAGGACTCGTTGAATGGCAGTTTAGAGGGAAACAAGCGACAATGGGAGATTAATAAAACGAAAATAGGTAGTATCAAGGTCGACCCGCGAAATGAGCCTGTAGCGTTGAAGGATGTGAAGTAAGAGCATGTGAAGACCGCGAGAACATGAAACAAAACAAAGTACTACCAACACCTCATCTTTGCAGAGTGTCTGATTTGGGTAACTCAAAATAAATGCATAATAATTTTCCCCAAAACAATGTCTATATTCTCATGGGTCGTAAATATCATAGCAAGTGGATAACTTAGATGTAACCATGATGACTGCCAGAACTACAGAACGGTCAATCTGGAACAGCAAATTAATGTGCTGTGGGTGCAAAAAGGTGATTTAGTCTCTTAGTATGTTTTTTCCTGGATAGAATTGGCTTCAGAACGCTGTTGTAACAGTCAATGACGTGCAATGCAGTTACAGTAGCTCCATTCGCGCTAGGAAGTTCCGTTTTTTTGGGAATGATTGATTCATGAAGACTAAGGTTATGGCTGACGTTGTTTGACCGTTATTTCTGGCAGTGAAAAGGCCGCTAAAGTCCTGTCTTCGACTCTTAGAAATTTATCATCATAACATAATCGGTACAATGTAATTACCAAGTCTGGTGATGTCGTATAATGCCCATGCAATATTCTAAGGCACACGTGAATGAATACACGTAGTAGTAGGAGTGTGAACCGATCAAGTGAATGCTAGAGTTGACGTGTAGTGCGGTTCTCCAGAAAAGCATGTTAGTCTTCGTTCAATGTGAATGCTACTGTTAGGTCAAGCCTCCAAACGCACTAAATGCACCTTCACTTGTGTACTTTAGCCTCAACAAGTAGGCATATAATGTTCTTCTCATCGCAATATACTTTCCTCATCACGATATAGCCTCAACGCTTTCAATTACAAATATTCTAAATAATTCAAAGGCTTGCTTCATCGCACTACACTACTCCCCTTCTCGACTTCCAAGTTCGCACCGATTATCATCATGCCCGGAAACAGTCACAAAGTTTCTGAGCAGGAGGCTCAGCGAAGTCAAGAACATGGAGTTCTTCACGGCCAAGAGCAACAGGAGGCTCGTCAGGGGCAAGAGCATACAATCCAGCCCTCTGCCAGCGTTCAAGCTATGGAGATTCAAACTCTAGGCCTGAGTCAGGAGGGCATGCCCCATCTGCGCGGAGGTTGCGTTTCTTCTGATGGAAACTGCTGTGGCTGTTGGTAAGTGCTATGTGAGTCCCTCTTTCAAACGGAACCCGCTAACACTAATGTAGGCCAGCCGACGCATGCTTTTGCAATGTGATGTGAATTCAACTCAAGTCCATGATGGTGGCAAATTCAGCAGTCGAGAAACGGCCGAGCTAATGGTCAATAGCAAAGATGATGGGGTTTCTTCGAATTTTCGACAGCAGGGGTTTTGTTTAGGCTTGTCACGGAGTAGTCTAAATACCGGCAATTAATGATATACTTGTCAACTTATAATTCCCTAACGAAATCCTCATATACTCTTTATTTGTTTCTGGTTTCCTCATTCGATGCAATATTACTTTGATGGGAGGGAGAAACATCGTAGACGCTTTGCAAAGGTATGGTCGTGTCATATCTCATAGCATTCTTATAGTAGCAATGTATGATATTCGAATTCACTCCAGGCAAAGGGCGTAAGATATTATTATGAAAACATTATAACGATTAAGGCATGTTTGAGGTTCTGAGAAGAGGACAGTGTGAAAGACGTGCCCAGGTAGAGATCAGCTGACAAATCGCGGGGTACCACGCCGCCCCAACTTCTCTTCCTGAGAATCACCCTTCATTTAATTAGAGGTCGAGTGATATCTCTAAGCTATGCAGTACAGTTCTGCGCTATAAGAAATCCTATCGCTAGGAAGAGTTCCTTTGTAGAGATGCTACGCATGATTAAATCCTAGAACTCTAGTATTCTAGTAGTTTTTTTACCACTATACCCCCACTACAGTTAAACTAATAGTGTTGCTGGAGTACAGGGTCCAATTACGCTTGGTCGCACCCGATCTTTGGGGGGCAAATTAGAGTTCAACGCTAGACGATTTTACCGTCTTGTTGGATTGGAAACGACAGGGATGCGCGCCTTCGGGCCAAACCCCTGAGATTACATGTGTTTATCGGCGAGTGCTATTCAAGGCATTTTAACAAGAATAAGAGTTGGCGTCCATAGACAAGGAGCCAGTTAGGCAGTTTGAAATTGAGAAAAAGGAAGGCCCCCGATTGCGCCTCACCCCGCGAGGTCGAGTTTCAGATATCGCCCCAAACGAGGCGCAGCTGGGCGCCTCACTATTGCCATGTAGACTTACAAAGACACCTCATCCTCATTCTTCTTGTACATCTCTCTCCGGTATCTTCCCGCCACTTTATACGCCGGCTTTTTAACTAGAGTTCGTCTAGTTCAAGGCTTTTTTAGCCTTCTTCTGGCAGGGTCGAACGGCAGACCACTTACCAAACGAAATTCCGACCTGGAGACTATTCGAATGTGGCTCAAAGTGTTGTGTAGCCCGAATGGAGTACTGTGTCTCTTCGTGCTGCTTCCCTGCACTAAGAGAGCCTGAAGATAATAGCGCCGAGACTTCGCCTTTACTATCACAGCATAGGCTTCCGCCATATATATATCGACCTCTAGCAGCTGATGAGATACGTCTGCTTGTGCTCCATCCAGCAAGATCCTTCGAAGATGAGATTGTCGTTCATTTTCAAGTCGTTAGACGCTCAGACGACAAGTACTTTGAGGCTGTGTCTTATGCGTGGGGCGATGACCAGGCAACAGCCACGCTTTTGATGCACGACGAACAGTATGCGACGTCCTTTCTACACGGCCAGAGCTTCCTCACTAGAATCTATCGCTACAATGCTTTGAAAGAACAGCTTCAAGCTTTCTTACGTGTAAGGGCAAATGTAACTACGATGTTGCGCTATCTTCGGTATCCATGGTTACCCCGATATCTCTGGATTGACCAACTTTGCATCAACCAAAATTCTAGGGACGAGAAGAGTCAGCAGGTCAATCAGATGGGCGAAATATATAAGGGCTCTGGGAGAACACTGATATGGTTAGGCTGCTCGAAAAGCCATAGTAGGCCGTTGGCGGCACTGGAGGCTACATGGCTAAGATCCCGTCCGAGCCGAGGGCGTGACTCGGATAGCAATATTTTGGGAGAACGGGAGGGGCGGGAGGGGGAAGGGTACATGCGATTGCGCCCAGAAGTCCGAAGAATTCTCTCATTGTCGTGGTTTCAGCGTCGTTGGGTAATCCAAGAAGTGGCTTTGTCCCCGCGTCCCCGCTTCATCTTTGGATACGACGAGATGACTTTTGAAGACATGACCTACTTCATTGATCAGCTCCGAAAAATTTCATATGATATTCCTCCGCATATCGGCAACGCGATACACACCTTGGAAACAATGACTAGCCTCTTTCGCCGGAGTCGTTTCCGTGGAGCTGGCATCATTACAAACGTCAGGCACGATGTATATTATCAATACTACCGCCATCACCCAAAGAGCAACGATACTGCCGACTTCATTCAGCTTCTTGTTAGCATGCACTCGGCACGATGCTCCGATGATCGAGATCGACTGTACGCCCTGAACAGCCTACGCAGCGACCCAATGATTGTAGACTATCAACAGACTGTGGAGGAAGTATACGGTACATTGGCTGCAACAGAATGCACTTACAGCCTAGAAACACTATATTGCAGCGGGGCCTTTCCTTCACAAAGCTTGCCTAGCTGGGTCCCAGACTGGAGATCGCCGCGCCGGTGGATTCCTATGAAATCTTTTGAAGGGCGACGGCCAAGTGATCAACTACTGTCAGATAGTCCCCGCCGTCCCAATCTCCCTTCACAAAAGCCAGTATTCATCAACTCCAAGACGATGGTGATAAACGCTGTCACTTTAACGTTCGTCGCTATGAAAGGGCCCCAATTATACGAAAACTGGTCCTTCAACCCGTGGCTATGCCTAAACAGGTACCTTGAGTTTTTCACTCGTACTAACGGCTCGACAACACCTCATAATGACATATATGATATCGAATCTCTCGATCGACTGATAGCCACACTCACAGCTGGTGCCATTTCGTCCGGAGAAAATCTCAAACAGTGGCTTGAAGCATACGACAGCCCTCGAAGCTATAAAAATGCCCGCAAAGAGTATTTGGATCCCTGCTGTCATAACAAGGATAGAACATTTTGCGAGTACCCTCAGGCTCACTCGAATATATTCAATATACTTGAAAGAATTCAGGAGATACTCAAAGGGCGCTGCACGTTCATTACCGACAGGGGGGACTGGGCGTTAGGACCGGCCCCGCTGCTCTTAGGAGATATCATTGTTGCTCTTGCTGGGTGTAGCTATCCATTTGTAATGCGCCCAAGGGTATGTCTCATGGTACCTGATATAAGATGTGTCCTATACTGACAGGCGACTTTTAGGGGCCAGCTTCGTTCACGATTGTTGGCGATTGTTATATCATGCTCCCTAGATATTTGGATGAGGTTCTCGCTCAAAGCACATTCCGTGCGATCTCCATTGTATAAGGAGGGCATTGAAGCATCTAGCTCACACGAGCCGTAGTGATTATAGCTGGCAGCCCCACATTAATCATAAAATTCAGGTGTTGTGATTCATTCATAGCTCCACGCCGACTTCTTGAAAATGCTTCTGCATAAGCCACGAGCGCATGACTAGAAAATTTAGAAAAGCTCATGTAAAGCTCTGTGAATTGTAGAAGCAGTGATGCAAAATGGGCGGTGCTAGTACCCGACGCAAAAAGACGCAACAGTGAATCGTAGAACTATACTTGTGTGTATCGTCACTTGTCCAATCTCAAGCGTTCTCCTGACGATACTGGACGTCATGGATGACAAAAGTTTCTCCATTGTCTCGGTCAAGGAGGATGACGGGCTCGAAGCTACGCTGTTCGCAGAGGAAAACGAAATGGGTTCAATCTCAGAGGTCAGAATCATCATGAGGCTATCTGTACCTTATGAAAAAAGTGGGGTATGGACATACATGAGGACCTTTAGCGAACGATTTAGAGTTAGGAAAGAGTTCTGGATACTGAAAAGCTCCAAGGCTCTATTATAGTGCCTAGTAATTTATTGATGATCTTTGAGGATTGGGGCTCCTGCGAGTACACAGTGAATCCAATTAGTGCATTGGTGCAAGGATACCAATGCTAATGCTGCATAGCAATGAGTCGTGGTGTGATGACGTGTCTCCAAAGCGGGGACTCTAGGATCCGCTAAACCCATGAAGAAAAGAAAATTGCAGTTCATAACTTAATAGGTGGGAGTGATTAGTCGGAGTGGAGAACCACGCGTCTCTGCATGAAGGAATTGTGCAAGACAGCATACGTAGGCGGGACGTCCATGCTCAATTCGTCTCTTATCGCCAGGCTACAGCAGAACCTAGGCGAGAAGAAGCTAACATATGCTCAAAAAGAGGGGCGTGGCTTTTCCATAGGAAGCTACCAGTTGACTAGGCTTGGATTGGTGGTTCTGGCGCGGATTGGGTACGGAATCATCGCGCCGTGGATACTCGAGCCGCCTAGGCAAGCCCGCATATGCAAATCGCCATTTTTGGGGCAAGATTCTCGGCCGTACATTGGTATCCTACGAATGGACCTTGACGTTTCACCGCGTAATGGGGTGTGAGTGCAGCATCGCTACCTAATACAGTAGTAGTTGCCTCGCGTACATCCGTAAAGAAAATTCATCGCGAGTCTTTATAAGATCCACCAAGCCTGGCCCGCGAAAATAAGCTTTTAGGGGCCACCCCTTGCTTGGTGTATCACGGCAGTTTTGGCGGTTCTCGCGCCGGCCCGTAAAGCTAATAACGCCCGCATAGGTCTTGGTGGTAAGATATTCATACATCCTTTCTTCGAAAATCTCGTTCTTGTACCGGATATTTGTGAATTTCACATTGCTTTTAGTGTTAGCAGGAATATTGGCGAACATGGGAAGGCCACGAGGTCTTTGGTAATCATAGTCATGTTGATCTTTGTTCGATCTGGTTTTGATTGGTTGTGCCTCAGAGACCTCGCTGCTTCTTCAAACATATCTATCTCTCGGGTATATATGCCCCGAATGGCCAATTGATTCTTTCCGAACCTTCAGCCGAGCCGCTATGAGACTGGCTAACTAAACCATCTTTAGGATCATCGCATGTCCTTCACATGCAAGCACTAATGCGGGCCGTGGTGATGGTTCTCGGAATTCAATCCTGATATAGGAGTGATGTGTTGACTTATGACGCTGGTGCCTGGGTGGCTTAGTGTTGACCGAAGGAAGCAATGAGTGTGTCCATTACCTGTTACAACTGGAAGTACAAATAAGGTTTCACTCCTACTCGCCTGACTTCTACGATATCAGTGACGCGTTCAGTGTGCATTATACTTTAGCCAAAGATTTCTAAATTTCCAAAACCCTAGCAGTGTTCTTCCAAGCTCGATTAGCAGTCAGGTTAGAAATTACTTGGCTCAGTTCCCTGCCAAGATGATGTCCGATTCAACGTTACACACGCCGCGCATAGTGGATTTCACTTCTCGAATCCCATTACCGAACAACACAACTGCAACGCTAGAGACACAGCCATCACACCCTGTCAACACGAAAACATCTTGTGGCATGGGCCACGCAGCAGCACCATCCATACCTGTAACGACCATTCCTGGCACCATCCCTGGGGTTATCCTCTACCATGCACATACGTTGTTGCTCTTCACATGCGATCAGATCCTCGACACGGTCATTCCTGGCACAACCTTCGGGATTACTGCGGCTACCTCAGGTCCGGTACTAGACTTGCCGGCGCAAAATATCACGTCCATTTTACAACGCATACTATTGGTGGCAGTCTGGCTGTGGCTGGTCATTCTCCAATTCTGTCTACAGAACCAACGCAACCCAGGATCAGTGGAGGAAGATAGTATAAACAAGCCCTGGCGTCCAATTCCATCGGGACGCGTTACTAGTGCTCAGGTAGAGTATCTCCTGATCGCAACGCATATTCTTGCCAGCGTTGCAAGCTGTTGCCTTGGCGTATTGCCGATCTTCGTGGTTTACATAATCTTGATTACAGCGTACAACGACTTTGGCGGTGGCGACCACAACGGCATCCTTCGTAATCTGTTTTGTGGCGCTGGTTTCTCTTGCTACTTCAGTGGTGCAATGAGTATCGCTCTTGGACCGGATATCTCGATGAGCTTTCAGGCATGGAAGTGGACGCTGTTGATCACGTTTTGTATTCTTGCAACCACAATCCAGACACAGGATTTCCGCGATGAAGCAGGCGACAAAGCTCGCAACCGGAGTACTCTCGTTACGAAATTGGGTAGAAAGCCGGCACTGTGGACCGTCATCATTCTAGTTCCATTATGGTCTCTATATACAACTCTGGTCTTCTTCGAAGGCGGCTGGAAAATGGCTGTCATACCAGTTGTACTTGGTGGAACTCTAGTCACCACGGCTTTCCAAGCTATGGGCGGAGACATGCATGAGCTGGATCGACGGATGTATAAGATCTGGTGTCTTTGGATGTTTGGACTTTGCCCATTACCTGTCATGAAGATAATTTGGTCATGATTTGTGGAATTATCGATCGGTTGTATTGTGGGTGGGTATTCTTAATGAGTGATTGGAATAAGCGGATTCAGATTTAAGGCTATGCGGTGAACAATTCGGCAGGAGAGAAAGCCACAACGACTAAAGTTCGAGGACAATAAACAGCAAGTTCCTCGTTGGCGATGTCCAAACCTGATCTTCGTGCTAGGGCAGAGTAGACACCCGCCAATCAATGATATTGAGTTCAAAGTAACGGCAACCACTTGAGCAACGCTTCTGCAGTCAGCTCCGGCGCTTCTTCCGGGATAAAATGGCCGATGCCATTTCCGAGAGGACATGCGGTTATTAAGCTCGGGCCGTCGCTCCAAGGCTGACTCCACACCTCCGTTATAGGCTTCCTGGCTCGTTTCGGTAGAAATCCTTGGCTATAGACTAAGAGCAGTGGAACAACGATACGTTGATTAGTTTCGATAGCCTTTCGCTCGAAATCAAGATCAGTTGTCGCACCAGCTTCGTAATCTCTGCATGAGGCTTCGATAACAGACTCCTGGTCAAAGAAGCTGCCGTAGACACTGAGGGAATCACCGCTTCTCAGCTTGTCAAGCCCTTCTTCATTAGACCCTGCCCAACGTGTGATCATGTTGTTGGCCCACTTTCCGCCACCATACGCCAATATCATAGGTTTGGCAATGGTCACGTTGGCGAGGAAAGACCAGTGAAAGTAACCAGTTTGAGCAGCGGCTGTGTCTCCGATCTCCCATTGTGATAAAGTCGGAACAATGTCCAACAAGGCCACTCCAATGATCTGGAATCCCAAGACGGCGGCCTGCCCGGTGGAGACGTGCAGTGCGTGTGCTACTCTAGCGCCACGGTCGTGGCCTATGAGGACAATTGGCGGGCTGTCGATCAACTTCTTGTCTCCATGGCTGAATACCTCATGGAGAGCTTCAATTACTCTCAGTCCAATGTTGACCTTGTCGTGTCGGTCGGTTGGAGCGCTGCTTCCGTAACCAGGCAAGTCCGGGATGAAGAGAGGCTTGCCTGGGAGCAATGGAACCAGGAGACGCCATCTAATCCGTTAGCGATGGATGTGAATTTAGGGTTTTCTCGTACATGTAAGCGCTCTGGGGATATCCATGAAGCAGTACTAGGATCGGGTTGCCATCGCTGGCCTTGTCTAGATCTCTATGATAACTCGTGATCTTCCCTGCTGAAACAACTTTCCGCAAGCCTAACTCGGTAAATTTTTGGTCCTGGATATGTGCCATTGCTAGAAACCAAGATAAAACGATTGTCTAAGCTTGACTAAACAAGCGTATGAAACTACGTGCCTCACGTGTCCCTATATACCTTGGAATCCTGCGCAGAATGGATTTGTCAGCGCGCTTCCATACTGATCAGGGAAGGTAGTGTTGGGTAAGATTTAGCCCTTTTAGGCCGTAAGGCAGCCTTCTTGATTACTACACTGCGGACCTCTTGATTGGCTGAGCGATTAAGTGCTGCGCTAACATCGGCAAGTGAGCAGATAGCACCGGCCGTGGAAATGATACGTTAGAATCGCTGTTTCACAAGCCAATATCTGCGACCAATTATTCGTGAATGTAGACAGATGACGCCCGGGCGGAGGGGCGACGCGAGACCAGAGAACCTAGTGGATGACTAAGCTGCGAAACGACACGCGTAGTATGATTTTCGCAACATAACTAACAGTTGAAACAACGAGTTTCTGCAGTCAACTCACACGTGATGGCTTCATCATCCTCGTAACGTGTACGACCTATCTATTCAGTTTCACGTCTACTTGTGCTGGGTCATTCTCAATTAGTGAACACAGGGGATACAAATTCAAACTCAGTTCAAGTTCGTTGTCGATGTTCCACACGCATTTTAGTGCGCGGCGTCTTTCGCATTTGGGATCCGCAATTGCGTGATCCACTTCACTACTGATAAGTGCATAGGCATTCTACCCACCGTGAGGACGATCGCGCCCGGTTCTGAAAAGTTTGTCATCACCACAATGTCGTACGAAGAATATGATGCGATTGTTGTTGGTGCAGGGTTCGCCGGTATTTATCAATTGTATCGTCTTCGCGAGCAGAACCTCTCGGTGATTCTCATCGAAGCCGGCGAAGACGTGGGAGGCACATGGCACTGGAATCGGTATCCAGGCGCTTCCTCCGATGTACATTCGTTCACTTACCGATACTCCTGGGATAAGGAACTTTTGCAGACATATCCTTGGAAGAATCACTATCTGACACAACCGGAAGTCCAGGCTTACTTGCGAAATGTGGTTGACAAGCACGGCCTGAGGAAGTATATCCGATTTAACACGCATTTTACAGGCGCCAAATTCGATGAGCAGAAGGTCGTTTGGGCAGTCGATACGTCAGACGGGAAAGCGCTCACGACGCATTACCTGTTCACTGCACTTGGGGCGTTATCGGACATGAACTATCCGGACATCAAGAACTTGAACTCCTTTGAGGGTGAAGTATACCATACTGCGGCCTGGCCATCTTCCTACGACTTTCACAACAAACGCATTGGCATCGTCGGCAATGGATCGACCGGCAGTCAACTGCTCGTTGCGCTAGCCAAGGAAGCGAAACATGTAACCAGCTTCCAGCGAAACGCGCAATGGAATGTGCCTAACGGAAATCGGCCCGTCCCCGACGAAGAGCGCGCAGAGATCAATGCGAACTACAACGAGATTTGGGATGCTGTACACAACTCCGCAGTCGCCTTTGGATTTCCTGAAAGTACGATCCCGACATTTAGTGTCGATGATGAGGAGCGAAGGCGCCGATTTCAGGAGGCGTGGGACAAGGGCAACGGCTTCCGCTTCATGTTTGGCGTTTTCTCTGATACGACTACAAACAGAAGTGCAAATGATGCTGCTTGCGCCTTCATCCAATCCAAAATTGAGGAAATCGTCAAAGATCCAGTGACGAGGCAGAGATTGATTCCCACCGAACCATATGCTAGACGCCCAATCTGCAATAACGGTTACTACGAGACCTTCAATCAGGAAAATGTGTCTCTGGTATCTTTGAAGGAAACGCCATTTACAGAGATAACGACTAGGGGAGTGAAGACATCCGACGGCGTTGAACATGAACTCGACGTTTTGATTTTTGCGACCGGCTTCGATGCCGTTACGGGGAGTTATTCGCACCTTGATATTCGTGGACGCGACGGTCAAACTCTCAAGGAGCACTGGGCTGCAGCACCGACGTCCTATCTTGGGTTCTCGGCATCCTCGTTTCCCAATCTTTTCCTGATCAGCGGCCCTCACCACCCATTTACCAATGCACCGCCACAGATCGAGGCACAGGTCAACTTCATCTCTGACCTAGTCGCGCACGTCGGAACATTGGGTACAGTTGAAGCAACTGCCGAAGCGGAGCAGGAGTTTTCGGATCTGAGCAATGAAATTGTAAAAGGGACCATTTTCCACGAGCCTAAGGGATGGGTGTTCGGTGATAATGTGAAAGGGAAAAAACACAGTACGCTGTTCTGGTTCGGTGGTTTGAAAGCGTACAGGGAGTATCTGAGGGATGTGGAGGAAAAGGAATATAAAGGATACAGGATTACGCGCGAAAATGCGTTATAGAAGAGCAGTGATGAGGTTTCTGCTGTCCTGTGGCTTCAAATCTCATGCCGTGCCGGTAAGTTTAAATGAGGTGAAAAACATATCACATTCAGTTACGACATTTTAAGATTAAGCGTATTGCATGCCCTAAGTCTATAACACTGCCATGCAGTAGCTGATTTCCTAAGTTTTTTGTTCTATCAGAAAATGTAGCTAGGATCTCAATTGAGAGAGGCATAGTGCAGTCCACCTGCTTACTTGATTGCCTCTCCATTACTATATATTCTACTCCGTTTGGTGAGCTTCTTGGGTTTCTTCCACCTATTTCTGGATGGAAGATTACTTGCAAGAGAAATAGCAGTTGTGAAATACTATAATGAGCACACTGCTGCCTAGAACAGAGCGTCCACCGTAACTGAATTTGGTATGGCGTTTTTGCACTTTCCAAGGTTAGCCCATCGTCTCAGACGTGCGTTTTGCACTATCGCGGAGTGCTTTTGTGCCGACAGCAGCACAACAGAACCAACTCTGACGGATTATCCATCTTAATGCCGATGAATATTCGTCCAAATGAGAGATTATGCACCGAATAGAAAAGGTATAACTGGGGCACCGGCCTTGGGCCTACATCCATCAGTAACCTTTTGTACGTCAACATTGTCTTCGATAATAACAGCCACACAGCACGTTGATAATGCAGGGCGTCACAGCTTTCGACCCGGCCAAGGATATACCCGATCTTACAGGCAAAGTTATACTTGTGACTGGCGGTATGTTTCTCTCACCTCTTGCCTACACTTGCTCACTTAACTGATTCGCTTTTAGGTACCGCAGGGCTAGGCGCCACATCCGTACGAGCGTTCGCTGCTCAAAATCCCTCGCATATATACTTCACTGGCCGCAATGTCTCCGCCGCTAATGCCCTGATCTCCGAAATCAAGGCCAAACACCCGACTGCCGCTTTGACCTTTATCGAAATGGATCTATCTTCGTTACAGTCCGTGAAGCAAGGGGTGTTAACCGGCTTCAAACATGACCACCTTGAAATCTTAATCAACAACGCCGGCATTATCGCAAAACCACAGGGCCTCAGCACAGACGGTTACGAAATCCAATTCGCGACCAACCACCTCGGGCACGCTATGCTCACCCAGCAGCTCCTACCGTATCTCCTGACCGCTACACAAACACCGGGCGCTGATGTGAGAGTTGTCACAGTTTCATCCGACGGCTACGCAGCTCACCGCGGAATCAAAGGCGGGATATCATTTACCGAACTAGACAGCGGTAGCACAATGTCCCGCACCGTCCTCGGCCCCTGGGTTCGCTACGGCCAATCCAAACTAGCGAACATCTTGTTCGCATCTGAACTCGCGCGGCGGTATCCAAACATCACCTCGGTATCCATTCATCCCGGTGTCGTCGAGACACCAATGAACACCGAGATGCGGGGATTCAACAAGAAATTTGTCTCGATAACTACCTGGTTGGGTGGCATCAAATGGATGAAACCAGAGCAGGGAGTTTTGAATCAGCTATGGTGTGCAGCGGGGGCGAAGAAAGAGGTGTTGAAAAATGGAGGGTTTTATCGGCCGGTTGGGGTGGATGATTGGGAGACGCTGACGAAAGAAGCCAGAGACGGAGAGCTTGCTAAGAAACTCTTGGACTGGACGGAAAGCGTTCTCGATAATTTCTAAATTGTTGTGTTGGGGCTGTTTTACAAGGCATATAGGCTACTATATACCGGAGGTAGGTGTTTCGACTACGATGTAACCACTGGCCATCCGCTCGAGAAGTCGAGGTAGTTGAAACCAAATAGAAACTGGTCGAATGCGTACCCAATGCTTCGATCAGCTGCGAGTGTTAGTGTTCAAACTCTCATGTTCTAACTTTAAGGGACTTACCGTAGTGGTAATATAGCGCAACACGGTTCACTCCCGGTTCGACTATCACACCCTGACCACCAGGCGCATACACATTCCCATGGCTACCCAGCACCAGCGTGCCTCCATTCTCAGACGCGCAATTCTTCCCATCGGCATCTGTGAATGGTCCGGTTGGCGATGTTGCGCGACACACCATAATCTTGTATTCATCACCCGGAGCTTGGAGATCGTCTGCAGCATTGCAGCACGCGCCCGATGAGAAGAAGTTGTAGTAGTATTTCGTCCCGCCTACCGCCCACCAGAACAGGAACCCACCTTCCGTAATTGAGGGGAACGTCTGCGGCTTCAAAGGGTAAGAAGAATTGTACAATACTTGGCGAGGTATTTCGCCGCCCCATTTGAGATAGTCTTTGGTGAGCGAAGTCTGATACACGCCCTTCCACGCAGAACCAAAGGTCCAGACATTGTCGCACGTGTCGCATTCGCGGAAAAGGTTCGCATCGATGACGTTGTAGTCGGCCGATTTGGGAACGCCCACACTGCCATGATCCGTCCATGTGCCAGCATCACCCGTTTTGCTCGTCGCGACGCCGATATCTGAACCCTGAAACCCGCTCTTGCTTACGCTGTAGTATGCATAGAATTGATCGTTGGCGAAGAATACATCTGGGGCCCATAATTCTTGGTCGTCGCGAACCCGGATAGTGGAGCCCTGTGGGAGGAGAGCACCTTGATACGTCCATGGTCCTGTGAGTGCAGGTGCGGTGGCTATCGCGATATTACCGATGGTGGAGAAGCGAAGCCATGTTCCGTCGCTTCTACGAACAACGCTTGGATCGTGGATGAACGTGCAATTTCCGGTGCAGGGTTCAGGTGGTGGGGTTTGTAGGATTGAGAGAGCCGTTGAACTTACGATTAGCCCGAGAACGGTGGCGGAAACACGAAGGTTTAACATTGTTCAATGGCCAGGTTTGAATTTTCGTCTCAAAGGCCGATGATGCTGTGCTATGGTCCTTATATTGGGGTTATATAGGGCGACTCGCAAGGCGTCCCTCATTAGCGAGGCCCCTGTCTTCTCATCCTATTGGATTCGTTTCGGGCCCATACCCACACTGCGCAATCCGCTCTCTTGGTCTAGTGGGGTGAGGAGCGCCCTAAAATTTCAGGCGAGCCACCCGGACCAAGATGGGGTAGCAACATGATGATCTCCTATTCTATTTTTGGGGGATCCACCACAAGGCTGTGCAATTTAGTCGAGGCGAGGGCTGCTCTTTTACAAAATGAGTTCAATACCGCGAGAGACATTCGTTCATCAAATAGTCGTCAATGATGAAGCTGCTAGACTGTAACTTTCCGGTCGACGATTTGCTGGTTTCAAGCTTGGCCCTTTCCACCGTCTCCATCTATCGTTCGAGGTGCGAGTCGTCCAAGTTGTTTCGAAACGCAATTTTGAGAACTAAACAACTTTCGTAATACAGGCTATTAGGCTGATTTAAAAGAGTTTTATATTGAGTACGTTTTGCGAACCCAGCTTTTGCTCAACGCAGCCTAGAGACATTCCTATGAATACGTAGAGAGAGAAACCCCACATAGCCCAACTCTTGTCGTCCCCACCAACCTGTCATTGCCTCGTAGTGGGGCTTTTGGTCGGTGGAAGGACTTTGTTTGTTCGCTTTTTGGGCCTATTTGGTAGTAGGTTGGCCAGATTACCTAGGTAAGCGTCTGCGCGATCGTTGGGTAATGGGGCACTCAAGCGGTGTGAGATCTTGGAAAGGGTGCTACAGCACTTCAATATGTGAGAGCACTACGTTCTTGGTTGGCTGCGCAGTTTTCGCGGAAGAGGCAGGTAGTTGAAATGGATTTTGAGAGGGTGCAGGACGCTGACCTGCCCGGGTGAAGCTAGGAAGTGAATTAGTCTCTGTTCGAACTAGCAGCTCGCAAACCTCGTAGAACCCAAGCGGCCAAACCACGACGTTACATCTCAACTCCATCGCGCATTTTCTACTTCACTCCATTTAAAGACCTTCTCCTACAATACTTGCGATAGGCTTTTGCATGACCAGTTGAGAACAATGGTTCCCCTTGTTGCGCATCTTGCCATAGTGTGCGTGAGTTTTTCTCCCGGAGGCGGCGCATGTGTTAGGCTGGCATAGCAACACTTCATCAGTTGTTGACGCTGCAGTCTGACCGTTAAAGCTGCATTATCATGGTGTTAACTAAACGATTGCTCTCTATAAGGTGATGCCGTACCTATTGCGCGTCATCTGGCGTGCCGTTGATCTGGGCCCTCAATGCACGACTTCTACAACCATGTAGGTATCTCATGCCACCCAAGTTCCTCTATACTCTCTTCTTCCGATCATGTATTACATTCTAAAAGCATACAGCCCTAATCCTCCTCTTCCTCGCCGTCGTAAACCACATGCTCTATCACTTCAGAGAACAGTCACGTGGGGACGCGTTGACGTGGTCCGCGTTCCTTCCCAAACACTCGCAATGACGCAACGAAAGCCACTCATAAAACATTGCCTCCGAAGCACCTTTCTACTCTTATCACCTCATCAGCATCCGACTGCCTACTTTTGCACGCACTGCAGCTCTCGCTTCATTCAAAAGCTACTACGACTAAATCTCTCAGCTGTGGTCACACAGCCCTCACTTGAACCAAATTGACGTCTAGTGCTTCTCCTCACCTACCATGTCTCGCTTTGAGCAGCTACCGTCAGCAGTTCGCCGCCGGATCCTCGGATACCTTTTGATCTCGGAGCATGTTCGCCAGTCGCCTAACCATCTGCTCGTGGAGCACTACGTGTTCGAGGTGAACATCCTACGTGCCAATCGCGCTATCAACAAGGAAGCTAAGGCGATCCTCTATGAGGAGAACAAGTTCGTCAAAGTGAACAATTACTTCGTCGACGCTCACAATTCCATGTCCAATCATGAGGTCCCCTTCTTCAAGCTCAAGGGCGGTTTCGAACACCATGTCACCGAGATCACGATCAAGTTCGATCCTATGAATAAACGTATGCCTTCCTCGATGAAGTTGAAAAAGCCCGCCACGTTCCTCCTCCTGTTGGCCGACATTCCCAAGTACACTCGCCTCCTTCGCCTCCTCGATCTCGCCAACTTCATGGGCTACCAGTTCGACTTCAAGCTTCACCAACCCCCATCCTCGGTTACGCTCCTCTCGAGTGTGGACCAAGAGAGGTTGCTCGGCCCTTTTGAACAAGTGCGTGGCGCAGCTATGGTCCAAAATGTCACCTTCTCGGGCACATTCGACCCTGCTATCGTGAAGCGTATAATGCAAGCCATGACTCGCAAAGTCGCCTGGCTTCGGGCTGGAGCATGGGAGGTTCACGATATTGCCCTTTCGATCAAGCGCATGGGTGATTGGGCGCTCCGTCTCAACAATGCTGACATGGCTTTGGCCAAGTACGAGGACACTCGCACGTTTATGATTACTACTATGAAGCTGAACAGCATGATGTCTGGCCTCGACATCGAGTTCGACAAGGCCCTTTGCCGTATCGAATGTACGACCTGGGTGGACACGGCCTTGCTCATGCTCTCGGACGCGATGCTGAAAGAAGCTGGAAAGCGAGTGTATGATGCGGTCCCGAATATGATCATCCATATAGAGGCGGCCGAGAGGATGGCTGCGAAGGGAAAGTCCACTGTGCCAGCCCCTGTCATCAGTCGCTTCTACTACTTGCTCGGTATCGCAGAGCTGGGTCTTTCTCATCCTGTCAAAGCTGCCAAAGCCTTTGCTAAAGCATGTAAGTAATGTTGGTGTACGAATCAATGAAGACATACACTGACTTGATACGCCAACCCTAGACAAGTTGGTTTCCGACAGCCCAACGAAGGAAGGCTACGAAGTTGCCAAAGAGTGGAAGGATCTGGGCAAGAATGCGCGAACTGCGCGTCTCAACGCCGTCCTTACATCGATGCCAAAGGAGCCGCTTGCCATTCCCGACATGAAAGCTTACATAACCCCCGAAGTTGCATCTGAACACTGGGTCATGCGTGAACTCGGTTACCAGGGAGCTTTCCCGTACGAAGACAAAATCAAGGGCGCTCTGTGTCTCATTTTGACGAACAAACCGCATCCCAACCACCACAACCAGGGCCCTCGCACTGCTCAAGTCGGTGATGTGAAGCCAGAGGTTTTGCGCAAGGTTGTCGAGAAGTATCGCAAGAACATCAACTTACCGCTCGCGCATGGTCGACTGATCGGCTGGGTCGGTCTCAATGTAGATGACATTGGCGAGGAGACGATTCTTGACCAGCCGGGCTACGTTGATGCGATGAAGAACATGAACCTTAGAGGCAGCGGATGCGCTAGTCAGTGAAATCTGCCGAGGTGAGCGGATATATGTCATGGGGTGAGCAGGCGCACTCTGTACGAATGGCGTACTGATCTGGCGTCTAAACCATTTAGTGAAAATATCGATCCCACTAGGACTAGGTAGCATAGTCAGGTTATGTACTTACTACGTCACTGAGAACGCCATCACGGCGTAAGAACCCAGAACTATGTATCACAAGTTCGTATACATGTTTTATAATGAACTTCATCAATATTTACTTTAGATGCCGTAGTCGCCATATGTCTGCGTGTACACCTAGTCATTGCGGTGAAGGTATATTTATAATAGCAAAGATTAAGCCTGAAATATTCATGTAGTCCGAGTAACGTCCTATTGTTGCAGCTTCCTTCTATTGTGGGGAGCACAATACTTACTTTCACTTTCGTCATGCTCTATTGAAAAGTCGCGCTATTGTGCTGGATTTCACTCATAGAACATTAAAATACCGCTCCCTAGGACCTTAAAGCCTTGATTCCCCTCATCAAACACCCTCAACTCAACTCCCACCTACCCTTTATTCACACATCAACATTCGAAAACATGCAATCCACCAAACGCAAGGCAAGCAGTGAGCTGGCCTCACCGCAGCAAAAACGACTTCGCCTAGGCGACTACAAGGACGACGAGCGAGCACTTCCTACAGGCTCAACCCAAGGCCTAACGGCTACATCCAGTTTTTCAACGGCTTCACAAAGCCCAGCAGGACCGCAAAGTCCCCCTGGCTCACCTCTTCGCCGACAATCACCTCAGCCGAATCATCCCTCGACATCCTCCGCAGTAGAGGTAGAGGAAGAAGAAGAGGCGGACGATGAGCTACTTTGCCGCATACAGTCCGGCATCGAGTACGTCCACGAGCAGCAAAGCAAGGGTGAAGCCATCATGCAGACCACCCGCTTCGAGCTCACCACCAAGTCTCCGAGTCCCGCCCTCGACCTCCTCCGCCGCCATGCCACACTCGTCCACACCTCCACGACGCACGAGGTATACGAACTCGGCGTCCCGCGTCCCGATTGGGTGACTGCCGGCATCCTCACCGGCCTCCACGATCCGCAGTGGTGGCTTAACAAGACCGTCGCGGAAGTGAAGGCTGGTCCTCACGCCGAAGAAAACGACGTGAAACGTGCGCAGGGCCACTTGAAAGGCCTGCAGACGAGGAAGAACAAGAAGAAGGTTCTGACGGCGAGAGAGAAGGAGATCGAGTGGAAGTTGAGAGAGGGGGCGAGACGGCAGGAGATGAGCCTGAGGATGTGCGATTCGGATCCTGAGGAGACGGACGACGAGAGTGAGATCGAGGAGGTTTGGGTGGGTGGAGGATATGAGAGTGAGGAGAGTGAGGAGGAGGAGGAAATGCCTGTCAAGCGAAGGCAGAGGACCATGGCAGCGAAGGCGCCCAGGAGCCGCCTCAGGCTGTCGGTGATACAGGAGGTGGAGGATGAAAACTAGGACTCGATATATATTCGGTTCAGTTCGCGATGATTTATAGCTGATCAAAGGGTAGCTCAGATATATCCTGCTCTTTTGAGACGCTCAATGCAGACATTGAGCCATACCAAAGTCTACTATATGGTATAAGCAGAACTGCAATAAGTGATCAAAGCCCATCAGGCTAGCTCGAAAGCCACTGGGAAATCTGTATAAAATGAATCAAATCCTATCTGGCTATACTAAGAGAAGAGTGATAGTTGTTGTAGACGTTGCTAAGTCATTCCTCGACCTAGCTGTTCTAATATAGCTAGATAGAGCCACGCGCTTGCTGTTTGTCTAACGCAGGAAACAGATGTGAACAGAGACAAATACGAGTCTCAAACAACGCCGATAACAGAGTTAGGTTTTTTTTTCGTGCATCACGAAAGTCATCGATTGCGACCTCACGAAGAAGTTTTCTACTTCCTCGATAGCTTACAATGCTGCGCATTGGCAAAGGCCATCGTCATGTGCCCAAATGCATAAAACCCGATCTGATTTGGGAGAATAGGCGACTGGGTTGCAGTATACGACTGAAACCCATTTTCTGTGTCTCGAATTCCGTAGGCGACTCTTGGGAGGTGGGCGACAGATATTCTATCCACGTCATCTTTAAGCCCATACTGAGCGAAAATAGAATACAAGCATTAGAGCTCCGGTTGCCGGGCCTAGAGTATTATCAAACAGCTTGCTCGACCCGGAAATACCATGGCAATCGAATCGAGATTTCCTGTGCATACATCTGGCGACGTGGGCAACGATTGTTCAGCTACAGGAGGTGCTACTGCATCGGCAGATGATGATGAGGATCCCAAAAGCTATTTCAGACCCGAAGCCGGTCATCCTTCTCTAATGATGGGTTAGAAGGCTCTAAAGACTATACCCTGTTTTTGTCTATTGACAGCGCAGGTTGTGTGCTTGAAACGTGAAGTCGCTCCCCACTGGAGGCACAATTGCGACACAATTCTACTTGACAATCCAATGAGCATTATTAACGACTGCAAAAGTCACAAGCCACGCAAATATTGACTCACTCCAGCTGGCCCTCGCATTCAGCTCCTCATGATTGCGGACCGACACGAGGGTTCTAGACTCACTCCTGCAGCGGCCCGCTTAGCCGCCCCCAAAGCCGTCGAACCACAATTCACCACCAGCAATAACAGAACCTACAGACAGCCACAAGCCTAACTTCCCTAACACGGACATGCAGCTAAGTCTGGAGGCTACCTGAGAACGACCCGAAATGGCCATACCGCGCAAAAACCATGGCTTATCACCCGCGTTCGATAAAGCCTTCGCTCGAATTTGCCTTTAGGTACTGCGACAGCGTGCAAAACGAGTCATGTTCTACTGAAAATGTACCAAAGAATACAGTTGTTCTCGGCAACCTGCTGCTGTAACGATGTGGCGACCTGGAATTCAGCTCAATGAGGTGTTCTATTGTTGGGGCTACTTCACGATTCTCGGTCAGGCCGACACAGGTATATGCCAGAGCTCTAGGTTATAGGACTACATAATCTAGGCGGTGTTTCATGGGAAAATATAGTCCACTTTCTACTACTTCTCAATCTCTTAGTGTCCATTCATATCGTTTCCAACTTTTCACCACCACAACCCACTAGCACGATGAGCCAATGGACTATTGGGTCCCTTTCGTTGCAGAATCCGCAACTATACCCTGCAGTGGATGACCGAGGATGTGCCACCGATTTCGCGTTTTATCGAAAAACACTCTGGGACAAGAGTAAGGGTCCACGCATTCTAGTGATCAACGCCCTCACCGAGAAGAAAATTACCCTCCATATTTGCATTGATGGTAAAGAATCTGCGGAAGATTTCAAGAGCACGCATCATGCAGTTAGTAATGACAGTGGTGATCCAACTCTGCAGGAACTTCAGGATCAGCGTAAACGCGGTTTCATCTTCAAAGCATACGCCGAGAGACGTAACGGCTCGTGGGAGGAGGTTGGGCTGGCGACGAAGCTTTGGTCTTTCAATATGCAGAGTGAAGGCCAACCATACGTCGTATTTGAGTTGAAAGACGTGGATCTCAAACGTGTCTATTCATACCGCAAGGTAGACGAGCCTTGGGCATTTGTGGGCAAACTTCGCTTCGAGATGACCATTGTTTCGACAGCCGACGGCAAAGCTTTGGATGGTACAGGCTACAATGGGCGAGGCTTCCATGTGCGATCCTATTCCCTTGCGGATCAACCCTCGATTGAGTTTTACGCCATCTGTCCCGCAATTCCGAAGTTTCTTCGACACGACGGTATTCCTATCACCTTACTACGGTTCGCGCTTGGCCCGCAGAACAAAATGGGGACTTGGGAGCCGGCGGACTATCCATATGCCAAAGCCATCACACACCGAGTCTTCAACAGCGGATTCAAGTACGAAAGAAGCAGTGGTAATTACTCTTTTACTAGTGGTGCAGGACGGACGACACAGCTGGGCAAGTTCCTGCGCATATGGAGTGTCTTGAACAAATCAGCGCCTGAGCAGACGCAGAAGTTGTTCGAGCTTAGATTCAAAGACAACCCACCAACTGTCAACTGCATGGATCAGACTGGCATTCTGGGCCTATGCATGAGCTTTGCTTGCGTTGACGAAGACGATCGCAATACCCTCATTGCTTACTTCACAAAACCCTTCGGCTTCTTGCACGATTCGCCTCTTGTCGGATGGGACAAAGATAAAGACGGCAAAACCATCCAGTGCAATAACCCGTTGAAATACACCAGCCAGCCAATGCCAGACTTGTTCTATCCGCCAACAACCCCGTTTCGGTCTTTCTTCGGCAGCCACGTTTTTCTTGAGTTTAGAAATCGCATTTACGACGCGTGTGCCGGTCCTTACACCGGTGGTCATTTCGCCGAACCTGGAGATCTCAAGGTTTACCTAGACGCTGCAGTCGATTCAAAGCCGGGGACAGTTCCGACGAAGTTTTGGGACAGTAGTGAGCACAAGACTGTTGAAGAACCGCCGGGTATGCGCCCGTGGACGGGCACCGCGGAGATCGCTAAGCCATTTCAGGTGGCTGACGGGCACGGCGGAATTCTGGGGGAGCTTGACCATACAATGCGAGAGGGTAATGATTGGAAGCGGGTACCAGATGATCTGAATCATGAACTAGACCTCCAAGCGTTCTCCCTCGATATCGAGAAGCTTGGAAAATGGATCATAGACGAGACAAAATCCTCGTCAACATGTCAAGTTACGACAGTTGAAGATCCTGTGGTTGACACTGGTGCGACTGTAATCAACAAGGACGCAGCAGAAAACGGCTCAATTACATGGTGCCTAGAAGCAAACGGTTCTAGTGCTACATTATATGTGCACATATTATCGAGGTTCGAAGATGCTGCGGCGGAGCGCTCCGCCATGTTTGGGCAGGGCCGTGTTGAAGGCGGCCCGACAAAGACGCAACTCGCACGCGACAAGTGCGTCGCCGGAACTCGCTTTGACGTTACACATGCTACCGCAGTGGCAGGTCGCTTCTTGATCGACTTTCAGTCGCCATCATTAGACAAGAAAGCGTTGTTGTACCTGCTGGAAACAGTCCTGAAGCTTGCCATGGCGGATGGAGACAAGATCATGGTTGGTAATAAGCTTGCTGACGACCACAAAGTTCAGAAAGACCAGCCAACAATGCACCATGTTATTCAGACCAGGGTCGATAGCGAGTCATCGTACCTTGTTCAGGTAAGTATATTTGGTCGCGGCGACACCGTCGGGCAACACTAACCAGCAATTAGGTTGAGCATTGTCTGGACATTGATTGGTCATACACAAATGGGGTATGCATACTCGATCTGTATGGCAACTGTAGCTAACACTCGTCACGCAGAACATATTCCTGACCGACTACGAGAAGGGCACTCGCGCAGACTTCGAGAAGAAGTCCTGGGTATATAACGAGAAATTCACAATGGACCCGAATGAGCCCGAGATCCAGACTGGGTACCGCTTCAAATTCTATGCAAGACGACCGGGCCGAGATACAATGAGGCTCGTTTTCTACAACCGCGCGTACGAGGCGACGTATCGCTTCATTGACTTTAAGATTGAGCCCGAGAGACAGTCTAGTTCATACTATTAGAGCACAGAGAATGCATGCAACTACTGTGACTGTTCGCTTGTCTCCTCCTTCACCTTCTTGTCATCCACACGCTTGAAGCGATCTAGCTTCTCATCAGCCCAGTGCGGCCGTGGGTCAAACGCGAATTGCAAGATCTCCGGACGCTGATAGTGACCGGCTGCATCAATCCAAACCTTGACCGGTCCCAAGTGCGAAAAGTCAATCTCACCCTGCACCAACTTCTCCACCCCGCCAGTATGCGGTTCCGCAATATAGGAGCAGAACGGATGAATGATCGCTGACCAGCCTCCTCCAGCTTTGACTAGGTCTTGCTTCCCAAGATTCTCTTCCATCCAGTCGAGGCACTGCTGGTCCACGTAGTTGGATGCTGTGATAACGAAGACTTGTGCAGTCAGAGCATGTGCCTTCATTAGCGCCTCGATCTGGGCATCAGCGACCGCCTCAAAACTAGACATGGTGGACAGCGCTGGCCAAGCTCCAGCATGGATATGCTGGTTCTGGGTGATCAAGGCTTGACGAGCACCGTTCATAGTGTGCTCCCAGCACGCGAGGCCGCCGAGATTATAGCCAAGCGAGAGGGGCCAGTTGCGCAGAGAGCTACCATTGCCTTGGGCCCAGATGTAACGCTCAGCGTACGTGGGCTGAAGTTTGCGGTGAACACCGAGAATCGTTCCATCGCTGTCGATGATGACTTGAGAGTTGAACAGCGTGTGGCCATTTGCGATACGCTCGGATATGCCCAAGTTGATGGCTACGCCGGTTCGTCGACAGGCATCCTGAATAGCGCTCACGTCCCCGCCATTAGGTTCTACCACGACACTTTCCTCCGCATACTGGGCCAAAGCGCCGACTTGTTTCAGCGGGGGGTAGCACTCCGACCAGTACTGCAGTGATGATCAGCAATCAATCTCGGAGCTAGGCACCCGGAGAATTCCTACAGAAGGCACTTACCGGGTAGCCAGGGATAAACGTTTCAGGGAACACAAGGAGCTTGACGTCCTCTGCAGCAGCTTGCTCAATGATTCGAACGGTTTTCTTGATTGAGGCAGCCTTGTTCATGAACACGGGTGCGGCATGAGCCGCAGCAACCTTGAACTTGGTCTCTTTCGGCGCCATGATTTTGATTGAGCAAAAAACTTGTTGAGAATCTAATGTAAGAGAAGTAACAAGGTATGGAGAAGGAGGAAGAAAGCCCGCGCGACAATGAGGGGGGGTTTGCCTCCAAGACACGCTACGGCACTATTTTTCCTCCGCTGCACTCTCAAAGTTGAGTCGCGAGCCGGTCCATGTCATTTTTCAGCCACCCGCATTCCCCGCAACCCCGTCGAGGTCAAACAGACCACTTAGACCCATATATTAGTACGGCTAGTCGTCAAATGGAGTGGCTCTGTCGGCGGTACTTGATCCGTGACAGGGTGAATCCACTTGGGCCGCAGCCGCCTGCACTATAACGGCTAACGGCCTGCACGCTATCACGTATCCCCTGCACGCCCGTATTGAACGGGGAATGATATGTACAGTCTCCTAATGCATGACAAGCGTTTCGCATCATGCCTCCCGTCCCTTTTCATTCGGAGACTTTTATCGGGGGTGGCATAGTGCGTCGATCATACAGCTTCATTTTGCTTGTGCTGATTTCAACGTTCTTTTATTTAAACACTCCGGCCTTTCGTTCCGTCACATTTCCATAGGCTGTCAACATGGCCATCGACTACTTTGCGAATCCGCCGCCAGGGCTGGATTTGATGGAATCACGAACAGCGACGAACAACGCCATAGGCATCGTGCTATTCATCCTATCACTTATTTTTGTCCTTTTGCGGCTCTTCACGCGCTTGAGATTGAAACATGAGCCGCTTGGCTTGGACGACTACTTGATGTTTTTCGCGTTGGGACTTAATGCAGCGAATTTGGCTTGCTGCATTGCTGGTAAGTAGCCTTCGATCCTGATCGATGAAGACCATTGCTACAGCTCAGATCAGGCGGTTTTTTCGGTCTTGGGAAGCATATTTGGTCTCTCGGACCGTATGAGATGCGGAAAATCACAATTGTACGTGGACAATATCGTTTCTACTTTAATGGTTATTGATATCTGATAGATCACATTTATTTACGTCTACATCTATTCGTGGAGTGTATGCGTCATCAAATTCTCCATCCTCGCATTATATCGACGCATCTTCGGCCTCAATTGGTTTGGATGGTTTTGCGTTGCCTTGACCTCGGTTTACCTCCTCACCAATCACATTGTGCTTCCCTTGTATACGAGGCCATTGTCTTTCTACTGGGAACAGTGGTATGGAGCGAAGGGCGTGATACTGGTGAACGAAGCGAATGTACGGTGATGTTGTATTCCGAACGCTGTTCAAACAGTCACTTACCACAATGCAGTTCTACCTCGGCATTGGTATCGCCAATCTGTTTGGAGATGTCTGTATTCTTGTAATCCCCATCTCAAGTGTTTTGAAGCTGCAAATGGGGCGGACGCAGAAGGTTGCGATCTGCTTCGTGTTTCTCCTTGGAAGCTTGTATGGTCCCGTTTCTTCAACCCCTGGGTTGTGCTAACAATGCTAGCGTATGCTTTGCCTCTCTCTACCGAATCATAACCATCACCCATCTCGTGCGAACAACAGACATCAGCTGGGCCAAGAGCGACGTCTTCATTTGGTCTTCGGTCGAACCCAGTATCGGCATTATTTCCGGCTGCCTTCCTACGCTGCGACCACTTATGGTTCGCATTCTAGCCGTTTTCTCGAAGCGACTACCCACCAGCCATAAGTCCTCTGCTAACAATGACTCCAAACCATACCCGCTCAATCCTATTGAGACAATATCGAAGAAACGCACACGCAAGGTCATCAAAACCGATGATCTAGAGGGCACTCTAATCGAAGAGGACGGAGATGTAGTTGTGGGTGAGCGAAGTCGGGGAAAATTATGGATGAAGGCGAGACACAACCACGACCATTCAAAGTCTTGGAGGCCTGATGAAGACGAGATGTGCCTCACAACTACGACTGTGCATGGGAGTGACAAAGGAGACACTCAAGGAGGATCTGAGAATAGTTTCTCGGGGAAATCCGATGCGAGAGGCATCACCATGACGAAGAAGTTCGAGTGGGACGACGAAAAGCGATCCTAGTAGAGCAAGATCGCGATCGTGTGAGCGAACATAGGATCTCTCACGGCCTCTCCTATCTGTTCGCCTCGGCCCCAGACTTCTCTTAAGATGGCAGATATTCGAGTATTGTCGACTTGAGATAATTTGACATCTTTGCTAGGAGATGTACAGTACTCTTCAACACCTAGGGCCAGGACAATATCCTGAACAACTCACTTTTGCCTGGCTGGTCCAAAGTCTAGCAGATTGCGAACCCAATTCTCACTCCTGATACTATCTTCCTAATTCCTGAAATCTGGTAGATTGAACTCAGGACCCGTCCAGTTCTCCGTACCATGGATGGGATGATTTTCCCACTCGCTGTCAAATCCTACCAGATTCCCAAGATCGGGCATTGGTAGCGCCATCGTATTGCATACTCAAAGCAACCAAGATGCCAAACAAAGCTGATGGATCGCGTGATAAGTTTTATGCCTTCTACAAAGAGTTGAATCAGGCTTTGAAGGCTTCTCCATCCAGAATCGGGAATAAACCGGCCATACGTGCCATACGTGCCCAGGTCCTTAACCCGTTCTTTGAGACCGTCAATTTCCTTGACATCTGTCAATGACAAAATCTCAAAGGATTCAGGCGTCTAGAGAATGACCCACTTGATAGCAGATGAAAAGGTACGTAGTTGGTCCTTGGCCTCCTCGGCAGTACACTTTCGCCCTTTGGCTTTGCAGTTGCTACAGGGATAGATCGCATCGCATTTACTGCGATAGGTTCGCCACCACGCGCAAGCTCTGTTCACATAATGTCGTTTCGGTCGTGGTTTTGCAGAGACATGACCTCCAGCTTTCCGCCCACCTGCAGGTGCTGATGAGAACACTGCGAACATGGCAATATGGGTGAGTGACTTGACGCTAAGATCATCTTGAGCAAAGGGGGGTAAAATTTGTGGAGCCTGGACGCCTGAACCTCGTAGCTTGCGCGGCGAAGGATGTCGCTGTGCGGTCGTTAATATTATTAGCGCCTGTGTGAGTTGTTTATCAATGTCTCTCAGGGGAAAAAATAGGTTGGATAATGAACGTGGGGTGGGGCTAAAACATGTGACATAATGTCGAGCTCCAGACCATGACTAGATCGTGTTCCTACTGGCTAGACGCAACCCAGCCTCTTGAATTGGCACAAAATCATACCCTAGCATATTTATAGAACTCGCTCAAGATTTCAGAAGTTCTGGCTCTGAAAAGTCGTCACCTAAATTATAGGAAACATAGCTATTTTGCTGATGGGGAACTCGTACATGGGATGGATAACTCCTTTCTTTTTCATGCTATAACGAACGCAGATTCTTTCGATCATCATCGCTTTCCTTTCTTCAAAACCAGGCCCTTCCAACCCTTGCTGTCCTTGATTCGTCTCAGTGCTTTACTAGCGACCGCGTCCTTATACAACTCATCTAGGCAAACCTTTTTGTCATCTTCAGTCTCATGCTCGTGGAACTCGCACCACTCCTTCTCCATCTTGGGTCTCTCTCCTCTTGCCAGCATTGTCACTAACTCGAACAAGAACGCTTGCGGAAGCTGACTTCGCAAAGCAGTTGTTCGCTCATCATCTCGATCCGGGTTCCAGTACACTGAGTACATGTCCAAGAAATATCGGCAGAGTGGTGCGTCGGGGGGCAGACTCTCGTAGGCAGCAATCACGTTGCTGTGATCGGGCATAACTTGGAGTATCTCGTCGTTGTGTTGCCACGCGAGGATAACGGCACGACGCAGCTTAGGAATGGCGTAACGGTGGGCGAACACATAGAGTGATATGAATCGACGCTCCAAGAAGCCTTCCAGGCCCCGCCATTTGTATGGCCGTGAGCAGCAGGGACACAAAGTTTCCTTTGGGATTTCCGGCTTCTCAGCAGGATTACGAGCCGGGGGCAAGGGCGCGCTTTTCTCGCTTTCACTATCGCCCGGTACTTTCTCTGCGCTCGGTTGTATGGGGCTGTTGGCTGTCTCGCCGTTCTGGGTGTCTATAACTGTATCGTCGGTCTCGAGAGCAATACCCCACGACGCGGTATCGACGTCGTCGCTCTCATTCTGGTCTTGAGGAGCTGTGCTATCACTTCCATTGAGGTTGATGGCGTGTGTCGGAGGATGTATCTCCTTCCCGCCTTCGATCAGATGGTGTGGAATGAAACCAGTATACAACCAGAGCATAAACGCGTCAAAGACATCAGGGCTTGTATCGTCTAGCTCTAGTGTAGTGTTCGAGCTGTTGTAGGGCGAGCCACTTTTCTCTTCCAGGCAGGTATTGAAGTATGATGAGCACCGTCGTAGGAGCTCTCGATGGCAGCTAAATGACTCCGGGTAATCCTTTCCTCCAACTTTAATCGTGATGATCGTTTGATCAAAGTTCCTACCCCTGGTCAGTTGCTCAGCTAGGTAAAAATGACATCGGAGACGTAACCTACCTGAACGTATGACCTAGTGTTGTTGCACCCTTGATGAACGGCATTTTGAGCAAGAAATCAGGTTCCATTCACATATCTCATAGTTCACGGGCAGCACCCTTATTATAGCATACTCGACAAAATGCTCCTAGGGGATATCAGTTTCAGCAACGGTGACAGCTACTGCTTGGCGTTCGACCTCTTGCGTCCTAATGCTTGTGTGAGCTTCAGCGCACGGCTCCAGAATGCTTCAATGGCACATAAAGTGCTTGTTTGGACATGCATGGCGAATGACGGCTGAGCTTCTATCAGCGATCTTGGAACGAGCTAGGAATAGTGCGAGGGTCTGCGGGAAAGGGGGGGTTTCGGCTGCTGTTTCACGATGCTTGGCGGAGAAAGGCGGGGCGTAGTGTGCCTCAGGCGGGCGCTAGTCGTTCAGCGATCTGCATCTACAAAACACGATAGCAAAGGTCCAAAAGCCCATTGGTGTCTTGCCTGTCGAGATCCTTGTCGCTAGTGCTGTACTATGATGAGATGGGTGAAGAAGGGCAAATGTATACAGATATCCATGGATGTATGTAGCCGCTGGTCTGTGCATTGTGGGTTCCCCATTCTTCAAAACTCCACTCCATCAATCACCAAATACACCAGCCGTAGGGAGAGACGATGCCGTCGGTTGACTCTAATGGTATACACGGGGGCCGTTGATCTCATGGGCGCACTTACCCCGCAATTAGGGACACAGCGCCCCGCTCCAGCTGTGGTCATTCTCGTGCAGGAGTAGCAGCTGTGAGCTCTATATATGGACTCTATATAAGCTTGCTCGCATTCTTTCTCAGAAAGAACCTGGATCATTCTCAATTCTACAAATGGCACCCAAACTTGATATCGAGACCTACCCAGGCAATATCATCAATAACGAGTTCGTCCCAACACCCAACACACGTCATTCAATCAACCCAGCAACTGGATCACCTTTGTTCAAAGTTCCCGTCACAAGGGCAGAAGACCTTGACGCCGCTGTCGAGGCAGCAAGAAAAGCCTTCAAGTCATGGAGCACAACACCCTTCTCCGAGCGAGCGAAGTTGCTCCTCGAGTACACTGATGCTATTGAAGCTAATCGCGACGAACTGGAGAATCTGTTAACGAAAGAACAAGGGAAGCCGCTCTCCTTGTCTCATACAGAGATGGACTTTGCCTTGAGTTGGCTGCGCGCTTTTGCAACTATGAAGATCGAAGACGAGGTGTTGCAAGAAGACGAGGAAAAGATCATCTACTCAACGCATCCGCCTATCGGCGTCTGCGCCGGTATCGTGCCTTGGAACTGGCCCATCTTGCTGGGTGTAGGAAAACTCGGACCAGCGCTGATCACGGGAAATACTTTCATTATGAAGCCTTCGCCGTTTACCCCATACTGTGATCTCAAGCTTGGCGAGCTGGCGAAGGGTATCTTTCCACCTGGAGTAGTACAAGTGCTGAGTGGCGACGACAACCTTGGACCCTGGATCACAGAGCATCCTGGTATCGACAAGGTTGCGTTCACAGGCTCCATCGCTACAGGCAAACTTGTCGCAGCCTCTTGCGCAAAGACACTCAAGCGCTGCGTTCTAGAACTTGGAGGGAACGATGCAGCTATTGTATGCGGCGACGTAGATATCGATAAATGCCTTCCAAAGATTACAACGTTGAGCTTCCTGAACTCAGGCCAAATCTGCATGCTGACGAAACGAATATACATCCACGAAAGTATATACGATGAATTCCGAAATAAGATGGTTGAATTCACGAAGAATAATATAAAAACTGGCGCGGGCACTGAGGAGGGTGTCGTAGTAGGTCCGGTGCAGAACAAGATGCAGTAAGTGATTGAGATCGATTCCAGCAAGCCGTGCATGAATTACAACGCTAACGCTTCAAAGGTTCGACAAAGTCAAGGACATTTATGCGCAAATCGAAAAACAAAACTGGAAGACCGCCTTGGCAGGTCAGGCTGAAGAGTCGCGGAACGGCTATTTCATCACCCCGGCCATCATCGACAACCCACCCGAGGACAGCCAGGTTGTTGCGGAAGAACCTTTTGGTCCAATTGTCCCACTTCTCAAGTGGACCGACGAGGACGACGTCATCGATCGCGCCAATGCGCTGCGTACTGGCCTTGGGGCATCTGTGTGGAGCAAAGATCTCAAACGCGCTGAAAGGATGGCAAGAAGGCTTGAGGCAGGCTCAGTATGGGTGAACAGTCACTTTGATGTTGACCCAAGAGTTCCTTTCGGGGGTCATAAAGAAAGTGGCATTGGGATGGAATGGGGTATTGAGGGTTTGAAGCACTACACAAACAGCCGGAGTTTGTGGGTGTGGAAGAAGATCTTCGAGTAACTATGCCCTTCAATTACGCCCTGAACTTTGTATCCGCGTAAGTTCGACATTTGCGCTTCCCGCTTAGGGGCTCTTGTACACATAGCCAAATTCCTTTTGTGCCTTCTCCAGCGCTTCCTTTAGCGGTCCCTCCCTCTCCTCCCATGCTTTCAAGTCCAACTCCTTCGCCTCCTGCACCTTCGCATGTCCCCTCGCAAACGACTCGCCACTAGGCACGCACACACCCTTCTTCACCGCTGGCCGTTCTCCCACGCGTTCCCACCAAGCGTAAACATTCGGAAACCTGCTCAACTCAATACCAGAAACGTTCAATGCATCGGCTAACGGCCAGATCGCCATATCTGCGATACTGTACTGCCCGCGGCCAGAACCAGCGATGTAATCCCGGTCTGCAAGGCGGGAATTCAGGATGCCATAGTTCCTCTCTGTTTCACCTACAAAGTGCTGCGTGGGAAATGCGTAGCGCTCCGGATTGAAACGATAGAAGACATTTGCTTGGCTTTGCATAGGAGCTATGATATCATTAGACGTCATCTTCGTCAACGAGTCCGCTTGCCGCATTCGCAAGTCTTGTGGCTAAAGGAGAAGGATGGGACATACTCAGACCACCGTGCTGCCAGGCAATCCACTGCTCCGCGGTACACGCTTCAAGCTCATCCGCAAAGCTGAATTTGAATTCTGTATCTTTTTGTCGCGCAAGGTAGTTGAGGATCGCCATGCCCTCGAAAACAACGTACTCGTCGTTATCGTGATCGACGATGGCAGGGATGCGACCATTTGGATTGAGCTTGGTGAACCAGGGTTCTTTCTGGACATTCTTGAAAATGTCGATGGTTTGGCTTATATAGTCGAGCCCGTAGGCGGCTTTAAGCTCTTCAAGGAAGATTGCGATCTTGAAGCCTGAGCAATGCGTAAATAGATGACAGGGTAAATTGGCTGCATTTAGTGGTGAAGAGTGTACGAACCGTTTGGTGTGCCGAAAGTAAACAACTCGATGCCTTTACTAGCAATACAAAAGTGTGATCCGCCGAAGTTCGCCATGACGCTTCCTGTCTTGTTTGAGTGAGTAGATTTGCTAGATTACCTTCCAAGATAGATACGTGTGACTGTATAGTGAAGACTGCTCGTGGCTTCAATTTAAAAGAGATTCAATGCTGAATCGAGATTTATAAGCAAGGACCGCCTTCGTACGCTAGTCCACTCGCTATCTTGTTGGGCCTACCTGGTTGAACTCCGCCCGTCAGCTTACCACGGCCCACAGGCTCTATGCCGGCTTTAGTTCGGTTACACACTAACTATCATAGTGCTTTGAAAGCGTGCAGATATCCTTGGGCTTCGACTAATTTGCCGGTGCTCATGATTTGGAAGCTGATTTGACTATCAAATCCCTGACCCCGCATAGATCCCTAACAGCCTGTTTGTTTACCGCACTGCAACTTGCATTCCACTAGCTCAAGCGGTTTCGTAGGATTGATATGTTTTGATGTAACTGGCTTTATCTCTCGATCTAACGTGAGAAGTCACGGTATATATGTCCAAACTAGACATCGAAGGTGGTGTTCAACCCATATAAACTTTCAGCTCGGGTAGCCTACGTGTAGAGAAACACGTACCCACCATCCTTCGTCAATTGCTACAGCCCCACTCTCTCCACCACTCATAGACTGCAATGCCTCCCGCAGTCTGGACATTGAGACTCCTCGTCACGCCCACTGTCTTGATCTCAACACATCGATCAACCACCGCTAGAACCTCAGGTGAGATGCCTCCTTTCTCGCTACCCAGCACTAGAACGCACTTCTTTGGCAAGGTACCAAGATCCTTCTGGTTTATATCACGTCCCCCACCAATATCTCCGTTTCCTAATATCCCACTTCGATCCGTCTGCTCGATACCCACAACTTCATATCCCTTCCTCTTCGCTTCGAGCAGAAAGTCGGGTACGCCGGGTATTTTGAGCTCTCCAATTGGAAAGTGTTTTTCTGAGGTCACGCTTGTAGCTTTGAAGTCCCTGTGCCCGATCTTCTTCACGTCGTTAATGTATAAGGCTTCAAGACCAAATGACTCAGAAATACGTGAAAGGCCGCCAAGATTCGTTGGGTTGTCAATTAGGGAGGCAACTAAAATGACGGATGCTGGGCGTTGATTTTGGGTGCTTGGAGACCCACTAGAGGGGTGGAGGGTGTTGAAGTCGAAGCCAGACTTTGTCTGAAGGAACGTTGGATTGGCTGGAGTAGAGTGTCCGATAGTGGCAGGTGGTAAGTTAGGACGTATGGCTGGTGCCTCCAAAGTTATGTCCGTGTTGATTCTCGCACCTAGTGCCATATGCTCCGACGGAGCGTTTGTGCCAGATATCTGATCTTCTTCCCGGAGCAAGAGGAAGTCCTCATACGCAACTGTCTCCTTCTCTGGTGACTCGATCGAAAGGTATTGACCCTGGAAGATCTTGACAACTGTGAAGTCTTTCACAGCTTCTAATTTCAGTGTTCTTATTGTCCACGGAGAAGCATTGAATTTGTCCAATTGTCGAAGGAAGGTATTCAATGCTACGAAAGCAGGGTTGCCTGTAACACTCGTCCAGCCCTTTTCCTTTGCTATGTCGAGGACTATGGGAAAATCAAAGTTCGCCTCGTGCCGAATTTGGACCTTTGGACTGGCACAGAAATAGGTGAGCTGTGTTGCAAGTTTCACTGCAAAGTCTTCTGTTTGAAATGGTACGATAAGGAGCCCCAGCTTCATGAGGCTAGCAATGTGTATGGGACTGTTATCACCCAATCTCTCAAGGTCGATGAGAATCCGAGACGCGTTCCCAGGGAAGCGGATGAGAATGCGAGCGACAATCCACTCCAGCAAAAAGCGAAAACGTGGCCACGGTTCCAGAACCAAGGCGTGCATGAAGGATTCGAGGTAGATACTCGCCTCCGATTCAATGATGCAGAGGTCACTGAGTAGGAGCATCGCTTGTAACTGTAGTGTTTCTTTCCATTTGCTCTTGATATGAATTGGTGCTTCCTGGATCCTCCACGGCTCTAGCAATCGATCCAAGATACGCTTAGCGACGCCCAGTTGCTCTTCTGGGAATCGCTGGATTATATCGATTAGAGCCGCATACGCATGCCATTCTCTCTGGCCATAATACGAAGCGTATGTTCTATGGGGCAAGAGCTTTTGAAGTTTCTCAGCAGCAGCGAGTTCGAATAGGAATTCTGGCTTGACTGATGGTGGATTGTCAAGAAAGTCAAGGATGAAGTCTTCAAATGGTAGAACACTGAGAACGGAAGGGCAGCGAAATGCCACTTTGCGGAGTGATCTTACGAGGACAGAGAGAATGTATGTCCTACCCCTGGAAAGTGACTGTAGGTGTTCCATGGCTCTTGAAAGAAGACCTATCAAAGAATCATCTTTCTCTTCTTCTTGTCGAAAATAGTGTGACACGCAGACTTGGATGCACGTCGGGTGGAATAACAGAGGCGGCAGATGCATCGCGACCGATCTGCTGAATTCTCTCCTCTCCGCCTCTTCCCAAAAGGCGTTCAAGATGGAGTGTAGATCATCGTGATCAATGGATGTGATATTTGCTTGATCAAGCATCTCTACTACACTCTTCGAGGCTGGTGCGTAAGCCTCTCCTTGGATAGATCGATGTTTCGACACATCTAGCTGCTTTAGGAAAGCCTGAAATGACGGTAATTCTCCGGATATTGACCAAACGGTGTCTGGCGTGTTGGTATCGTCCACAGACTTTTCGAGTTCCAGCAGTCGGGTTTTCAACATATTATAGCCAGACTCGTTTGATACTTTCCAGTCAGACGCGACCAAGTCACAAAGTTGCCGGCAGAAAATGCTTTGAAGGTTGGTTGAAATCTCCGGTAATCCCGTGAGACGTGAAAGACGAAGGATTTCATTGACTTCCGAAGGACTTAATGAATGCTGTAACGGTAGTTCTCCTTGGCGTGCTTGCAGGCCTTTGATGAGGCCTTCCATCAGGTATAGGATGGCAGGTTGGAAGATTCTACCACCCGAATTTAAGATGAAGCGAGTGACTCCAAGGATCACCCTTTGGCGACTTGAAGTCAGCACTGTCGTCTCTAGGATGTCTGTTTTGGTCGGGACAGTGGAAGGTGGGCTGTCTGGAGACTTTGATATAAACCTAGCAACAACATTAACGAGTGCCGAGCCGTGAGTACACATGGTCATTGCTCGTGCCGACGTGATAGTAGATGTGAAAAGGTTGCCTTCGGTCCCCCATGGAAGGAATCCCTCAAGGAGAAAATTTATATGGTCGCTGCAGTCTGTTTGGTCCTATCACACGTGCAAGTCAGTAAGTGTTCATCGAATAGCGTGAAGAGTTTAGGCAGTTTGTACTACTTCGTGATATTCCTTATGCAATACTAAAATTAGAGACGGCCAACGTACATACAAAACTCACTCACCTCAACAACGTAGTTCATATACCAATTACCAATGATTTTGCGTATGCCCTCTTGTACCGTGGAATCAAGTGAGGCAGCAAGCAATGTGGTAGCCATCATCGACGAGATCTTTGATTGGGGACCAAGCAATAATGTGAGCTCCGGTAGGCAGGCCTGCACTTGGTTCTGGTACCGGTCTAGCACGATTGTTTCGAACAATACTGAGAACTGCTCGTACGCCATTAAATAAGCGTCGCGGTCGTCAACATGGAACTCGAGTGTGGAAGTGAGGATATCCTTGTTCGTAGCAAGTAATGACTGGCGAATGATCCCGAGGCAGTATTTACGCTGATCGGCGAAGCCCTTCAAAAGGCCAATCTGAAGCCTTTTCCAATACAGGTCATCGAGCAGACATTCCAGGTCCACGCCGTCGGTGACAGCTTGCGAAATCCACTGAAACCATGTCCTGAAGATGTGACTGGAGTTTGAGGTGAAAACCTCGGGTCCAAGCATTTTGACCTTGTTCCAAAAGGATTGGTCAATAATGGTTTTGTTCAGCACGAGTCGTCCCAAAGCAGGTTCGTACTTCAACCACGGCTGTAACGGGTGCTTCTGGTAGGCAACAACAATCGGCCCACCGTTTTTAAGCAGCGCGAACAAAGCAGATAGGGCACCTTGTGCAGCGTGATCTAGTCCATCGATGCCAATGAAGGCTGAGAGGAGTCCTATAGAGCTTGGACTGATGAGATGTTGCTGATGTTTGGGAAGCCAAAAAGAGCACTTCAAAAAGTTTAGATAGCCCACAGCTTTACGGATGCGCTCCTCTTGTAGTAGTAGCTCTGCTTCATCGCTCGCTACCTTTTTACGATTGTTGGAAATTTCCGAGAGAAGAAGACCGAGTGCATCATGAGTTCGCCGGTCGAGTTGTGCAGCTGCGATAGAACTATGGCCGAGACATATCTCAACGATGCTGTAGAGGCGTTCTAGGTCCTGCTCCTCGAGTATGTGAAAGAGAATGAGGCCCCAAAGCTTTTCGTAAGGTGAGATATCCTGGCTTGGTGTTACGGAAGCGGTGCTACTTTCAAAGCGGCCGGCCACTTCTTCGGGGGTCAATGGCGGTAATAGTCGAATGCACACTCGCAAGGCGTCGAAGTCGAGACGAGGTGTCGCTTCAAGCCTTGCCAAGTGGGCTTCGAACGCCGCCTTTTTTGTGCCAGCATCAAGGAAGTCAAGTACGCTGTCCATGGCGAATGAAGAGAAAGTGGTATGTAATACTGCCAGCAAATGGCTGGTATCAATGCTGTCGTGGGAGATGCACCAGATCCATCGCTGTCAAATGTGTAGGTGGTTGCACTTTTTTTTTAGACACGGCGAGGACCAGTCACGTCGCGAATTTTCGTCGCTAGGTGTACCGAGGAATGTTTGTAGGAACGTTGCCGTGAACGACGCAGCGTGACCCCCTACTTTCATTCTATCATGCACTCTATTAATCGCAGCCACGTCGCAAACATCGCGCTATCAAGTCGCTTTTCCTCTCGTCGTCTCGTCTCGCCTCTTCGTTGTTGTGATTGCTCCGTTGAGGGGTGCCAAGGCAGTGACGTCGCTTATCGCACACGGCAACCGCTGTGTTGACATTTGCCTTGTTTGGGGAAGGCGCGACCGTGCATTGATGCACCGAAGCCGCATCCTACAACAGCGTCCATGCACCTGCTCTACATCTTGCGGTCGCAGCGGCTTTTGCATCATTGTTACCTGCTGTTAGACAAATTCTTGGACTCACGAATGTATTCAGGACTACATACGACTGCTTCGGCGCCCTCAATGCGCGCAGCAGAGCCATATGCGCTCATGTCTCCTCCGATGAACGATGACCCGGGCAACGTCAAGGTTGTAGTGCGATGTAGGGCCTTTGTGAGGAGAGGTAAGCATACACTCTCAAGGACAATGCATCGGATATTAACCGAAAGTAGAGAAGGAAAAGGGCACGCGCTGTCTGGTTCGCATGGACCCAGCAACACAGAAGACAACGCTCTTTGCACCCGCGACCGACGACTCCAATACGCGAAGAGCCTACGAAGACAAGGAGTTCACCTTTGACCGCTCCTACTGGTCGCATGACGAGACCGACCCGCACTATGCTCACCAAGAGGACGTCTACCGCTCCTTTGGCGAAGACTTCCTCGATCACAACTTTGAAGGATACCACACATGTATATTCGCATACGGACAGACGGGATCAGGGAAGAGTTACACCATGATGGGAACACCAGACAACCCAGGGCTTATTCCACGCACATGCGAGGAGCTGTTCGACAGGATAGCGCACGAGCCCTCACCCAACACAAACTACCACGTCCAGGTGTCCTACTTCGAAGTGTACAACGAGCATGTGCGGGACTTGCTCACGCCGAAGACGACCCCACCCATCTACCTAAAGATCCGAGAGAGTCAGAAGGATGGCGTTTATGTGCAGGGCTTGACTGAGGCAGAGGTCAAGAGCTATGCCGATGTGGCACGCCTGATGAAGGTTGGCGACTTGGTGAGCATGAGCGCTATACTGCTCTAAATGAGATACTAATGAGTGTGTAGAGCCGAACAACCGCATCCACCAAGATGAACGACACCTCGTCACGTTCGCATGCCGTCTTCACGATCCGTCTCAAGCAGATTACACATTCCCTCCTCTCTGACGAGACTATCGAACGCACTGCCCGCATGCGCCTTGTCGATCTAGCAGGTTCTGAGCGCGCAAAGTCTACAGAAGCTACTGGGCAACGCTTGAAGGAGGGAGGCCAGATTAACAAGTCCCTCACCACACTTGGTCGCGTGATTGCTGCACTCGCAGACCCTCGCCGACATGGTAACAAGGGGAGGCGGCCACGCGAAGTCGTCCCATATCGAGATTCGGTCTTGACATGGCTCCTGAAAGACTCACTGGGGGGCAACAGCAAGACGGCTATGGTAGCCTGCATCGCGCCAGCCGACTACGACGAGACTTTGTCCACTCTCCGCTACGCCGATCAAGCGAAGCGCATCCGCACTCGTGCCCTAGTCAACCAGGACTGCATGTCTGCTGCACAGCGAGATGCTGAGCTCACCGAAATGGCGGAGCAGATCCGGAGCTTGCAGGTCAGCGTCAATGCCGCCAGTCAGCGCAAGAGAGAAGAAGCAACAGAGCTGGAAGAATACCAGAGACAGGTCGCATTGATGCAGCGACTAATGGAGGAGAATCGACAAGTCTCAGCTGCAAAGATCAAAGCCCTGTCTAGTGAAGTCGAAGAGCTCCGACCCGCCAACGCCACACTCCGTGCAGAGATTGACTCGTTACGCCGTCATCTTGCGCTCGCGCTTGGAGAGCTCAAGAATCCGATCGTGCTGCCTCCGCCACAGTCCGTGGGCTCGCCTAACTTTGAGCAGGACGAATGGCTGGGTGAAAGGGATGGTAAAGAGAACCCTATTCCCGCTCCCACTGATGGTGAAGTCAGCGATAACGACTCTGATTCAGGATATGATGAAGGCGACCACGATGAGCTGGCACAGGAGCTGCAGAACGAGGCTGAGAACTTCTTGAAAGATCTCGGGGTCTTCCGCAAGAAGGTTGGGAGCGATGTTGAACGATTTGGAGTCCGGGAGGCTCTGGCTCATATCGCCTGGAATTGAACGCGACCGAAGCTGAAAGCTGGCCTTTTTCTTGCCTATACTGCAGGACTGATGTTAGAGAAGAAGTGTGTGTGATACGAACTTGGTTTACGAAATGCATTAAGCGGAGGCGTTCTTTTATTTTGTCATGAGCTTCGAAGTTTGTGGATAGTTTAGTAGTCTATAGTATCTAGTAGTAATCGACACGATTATCTCATGATGACTGATGTGGCTTTGTGAGCAGATTTGATTCACGTGAGGGCTGACACTTGACTTTCGAAGTCCACCTCGGCGCGCTGAGCTCCAGCACAGACGTCAACCTCGATCCTCAAGCTCCAGGCACCACAACATTCACATGGCGCCATGATCTCCCGGTAACCACCACGACCATGTCCAAGCCAACTGCCAATTGGGAAAAGGTCGGCGACAAGTTTTATCGCAAGGTGCAACTCTACACGGCCGTCTTCGACCAGGACCTTGAGCTCGAGAACTACAATGTAGTGGGGGCGCCGTACAGCGGTGCTGTAGGTAGGTACGTCCCGCCTTCCTGCCGTTGAATGTGCAATGCTTGGAACCCGAGACTGATCACAATAGCTATATATCGCGATGAAGAGAAACTCCATTCGTACCGCGGGCCGGGTGTGTCTAAGTCGAGCATCGATATCTATAGCTGCGCCGGGAAGCTTATACGAAGCATAACTGTACGATAAGCGACTACCTTCGCGTTCATGTAAAAAGCATAAGAGAGAAGCGGTCGGCTGACATGCGACAGTGGGATAAGGGCACAATCAAAGGCTTAGGCTGGTCTGAGGACGAAAAGCTGCTCGTTGTGACCTCAGACGGCACGGTACGCTGCTACTACGACCTCCAGGGCGACTTTGCGCCTTTCACGCTTGGCCACGGTGCAGATGAACACGGCGTCGTGTCCTGCAAATTCTATGGCACTGGCTTTGTCGCGCTCCTCGGAAACAACCACCTCATCTCGGTAACATCATACACAGAACCGCGTCCCAAGCTGCTCGCAATACCGCCGACTGAACCCGTAGTATCGTGGAGTATCATACCGCCCGCATACTCACTCTCGCGTTCTGTAGAGGTGATACTCGCGATAGGCGCTACCCTCTACGTTGTCGACGCTACTGAAGCTGAAGACAGGAACTTTGATGCTGGGCCTTTCAGACACATCAGCGTCAGTCCCCGCGCCGAGTTCCTCGCCTTCTACACCGAGGATGGTAAGGTATGGGTGGTCAGTGGTGATTGGAGTGAGAAGCTCAGCGAGTATGACAGCAAGGTCAAGACGGTGCCCAAGGACATGCAGTGGTGCGGATCCAATGCCGTCGCTCTAGCTTGGGAAGACGAAGTACATCTGATTGGACCAAAAAGCGCGGCAACCAAGTTCTACTACGACACGTGGATACATCTACTACCGGACGTTGATGGCATACGGCTTTTGACAAATGACGTGTGCGAGTTCATTCAGAAGGTGCCAGACGAAGCAGTTGAGGTATTCCGCCTAGGGTCCGATTCTCCTGCTGCAAACCTTCTGGAAGCGTCTTCACTACTTGAACAGAAGAGTCCAAAAGCAGACGATCTCATCCAGCTAATACGGCCAAGCCTGGCTGAAGCAGTAGACACTTGCATCAAAGCGGCAGCACACGAATACAACATCCACTGGCAAAAGTCGCTTCTAAAGGCTGCTTCATATGGAAAGTCCGTGCTAGACTTGTACTCCTCCGATGACTTCGTCGATACTTGCGATACTTTACGCGTTCTAAATGCAGTGCGCTTCTACGAAGTGGGACTTCCACTAAGCTACGACCAATATCGCCGCATGACGCCCGAGAAACTCATTGAGCGGCTGACGAATCGTAACGAGTATCTTCTGGCGTTGCGAATAGCAGACTATTTGCACCTCCCAGCAAGTCAAATTCATGGTCACTGGGCTCAGCAGAAAGTCCGTGTTTCTACGGACCCAGAGGAAGAGATATGCAGTCTGATCGTTAAAAAACTGCATGGCAAGCCCGGTGTCTCCTTCGAGGAGATTGCACGCGCAGCCTACGATGAAGGCCGTGTTCGACTCGCAACCGAACTGCTGAATTACGAACCTAGAGCGGGTAAGCAAGTTCCGTTGCTACTCAACATGAAAGAAGAAAACATCGCGCTCGACAAGGCAATTGAATCGGGCGATACAGACCTCGTCTATCACGTCCTCCTGCACCTACGCAAAAAGCTCCCGCTCGCATCATTCTTCCGTGTCATAAACAGCCGGCCCGTCGCCACCGCCCTTGTCGAATCCTCGGCCTGGGATCAAGACCGCGAGCTGCTTAAGGATCTCTACTACCAAGATGACAGGCGCCTAGATGGCTCGAATCTCTTACTCTCTGAAGCACTTGCACAGCCCGAATTCCATGGCTCTCTCGAAAAACTCAAGTCAGCATCAAAATACCTGCAGGATTCTCGTGACAGCACCGCCATCTTCCAGCGACAGGCTATTGACGAGGCAGCGAAACTCCTCAGACTGCAAGAGCAGTTTGAGAAAGACCTCGGTCCGCACAACCCCACACCGGGTGGCACACTGACAGGGCAGTCCTTCATCGGTCTCAGCGCCAACGAAACTATTTTTCAGCTCATCCGCCAGGGACACTACAAACGTGCCCAAAAAGTGCAATCAGAATTCAAAATCACAGACAAAACATACACATACATACGTCTGCGCGCACTTGTCGCAGCACGACATTGGGTGGAGCTCGAGGAGTTTGCCAAGCAGAAAAAGAGCCCAATTGGGTGGGAACCATTCTTCAATGAGATCCTGACAGCGGGGAATACAAGGGTGGCGAGTGTGTTCATACCGAAATGCACCAACTTGACAGTTGCAGAGCGGGTCGATATGTGGGTAAAGTGCGGACTGCTGGTTAAAGCGGGGGAGGAAGCATTCAAAGCCAAGGATAGGCCTTTATTAGAGGAGGTGAGGAGTAAAGCGGGAGGTAGTGCAGCAGTGGAACTTGAGCGGTTGCTGGGGATGCTGCCACAGGGCAGGAAATAAGAGGCTAAGTAGAACTTCGTTAGGCCTGAACATTTCTATAAACTTGACAGGCCGAGGATACCCCATTCGCAATAAATACGCACCGCCTTACTCTCTTTCCGCAGCCACCTCGGAGATTTACATTGGTGCACATCATGTGCATCTCTGCAAGTTGGCAGGCTTCCCCACATTGGCCGGGGTGATCTCCGCACCGAACCCATCGCTGGTACTTGGACATCGTCATCTCGGTCTGCACTTGTCCGACAGCCTTGAACGACGAGATGACGGCAACTAATTCTGACAAGAGGTTTTCGGCTCTCCGAGCTCGGCGATCTATACATGATGTTAGATAAATCACACTCGCAGCTTGTTACCTACTGTAGAAAACAACTACATCAAATGTGAACATGAAGCTCTTCTCACTTATAACCGGCCTTACTCTTCTAGGTTCCTCCCTTGCCATCCCGTATGAGGAGTATATCCTAGCCCCGAAGTCACGGACACTGCATCCAGTCTCAGTTCACAGCACAAACGGCTCAGTCAGCAACCCAGAGAGCCTCACCACTGCATCCTCCTCTAACGGCAGCTCCATCTTCTCCGGCGATGCAGCCACAGCATACGACTTTGGGATCAATATAGCAGGCATCGTTACCCTAACTGTCGGCTCAGTTTCCTCCCCCGATGAATACATCGGCGTTACTTTCTCTGAAAGCTCGTTGTGGGTGAGCAATAAGAGCAGCGATGCTATTGCCGACGCGGGCAAAGATGAGATACTATGGTTCCATGTCACTGGGCCGGGACGATATACGGCGCCGAGAGAGAAGGAAAGAGGCGGATTCCGGTATATGAGTTTGGTTCATAATTCGACGGGGAGCGTAGAGGTTGAGGCGGTTGAGGTGCACTACACTGCCATGCCGCACTGGGGTGAGGATGCGATTGGGAACTATTCGGGGTACTTTCACTGCGATGGTATGTACTCTTTCGTTCTCTTTGATATCCGTCTTTTTATTTGTTGGTCTTGTAAGTTGATGCTTATGATCCTACAGATGAATTGCTCAACCGTATTTGGTATGCCGGAGCCTACACGAACCAGATCTGCACGATTGATCCGCATTACGGCAATGCGCTGATCCATATCTTCAAAATCAACTCTTCTGTCTCAGACGCTGTTAATGTGACGTGGTACAACAATTATACAATCACGAATGGCAGTTCGGCGATAGTTGATGGCGCAAAGAGAGATAGGATCGTATGGGCAGGCGGTAAGTCTCAGGCACTGGAATTTCAGATATAGTATAGGAGCTGATAGTGACATGTGTAGATATGGCTATCGCCGTCCCAGGTGTTGTGGTGTCGACTAATGATGTCGTCTCGATTGAAAACTCGCTCAACTCGCTGTTCGATGTCCAGAATAGCAGTAGCGGGCTGCTTCCGTATGCGGGGCGACCTTTCCCGTCAGCAACTTCGTTCACGTATCATCTATATACTTTGATCGGTGTGTCGGATCACTATCTATATACAGTGAGTCCCTCCCGGTAGTCGTCTGAGTAGTTGCTGATGCTAGTTATAGGGAGATATCGGATACCTGGCTTCATTATGGGACAAGTGGAAGCTCGCTTTAACCTTCCCGTTGTCCCACATCGATGAAACAGGGCTTATGAACGTCACTTCTCCCAGTGACTGGCTGCGGTTTGGCATGGGCGGTCACAATATTGAAGCCAACTCTATCCTCTACTATACCATCAACCAGGGGATAGCGCTTGCCGAAGCCCTGAACGACACAGCTCCCATCTCCGAATGGAAAGAGACCGCTCAACGCATCAAGACGGCTGCCAACGCGCTCCTGTGGAACAACGAATTGGGCATGTACACTGACAATGAAACCACGACCCTAATGCCCCAAGACGGCAACTCCTGGGCCGCCGTGGCAAACCTCACTCTCAACTCGTCACAAATCTCATCCATCAGCGAAAAACTCCAGGGCAGATGGACACCCTACGGTGCCCCCGCCCTCGAAGCCGCAGACGCTATATCACCCTTCATCTCTGGGTTTGAGTTACAAACACACTTCCTAGCCGCGAACGCGAGCGCAGCCTTGGACCTGATGAGACTGCAATGGGGCTTCATGCTGGATGACCCGCGCATGACGAATTCGACTTTTATCGAGGGGTACTCGAGCACGGGAGAACTACACTATGCGCCGTACTTGAACGATGCGCGCATCAGCCATGCTCACGGGTGGGCGACGGGGCCCACGTCGTCGTTGACGTTTTATGTTGCGGGGATTCAGCTCTTGAGCGCGGGTGGCAAGACGTGGCGCGTTGCTCCGGCGTTGGGCGACTTGACAAATGTCGATGCTGGGTTTAGTACTAGTCTGGGCTTCTTCTCGGCGACGACGACGATCACTAAGGGAGTGGTCGAAGTCGAATTTGAAGCACCTTCAGGTACAAGCGGGGAGGTTCGTGTACCGATTTTGAATTGCGTGGGACGAGTAGTCTTGCAGGAGGTGGATGGGAAGTGTGAGGATGTTACGGTGGAGGTTGTGCAGGCTGATTCTGCGCATGTTGTTGTAGCGGGTCTCGCTGGCGGGAGGTGGAAGGCTACGTTTACATGCGTAGAGTAGTTAAAGGGGAAAAGAAATATAGAGTAATAAGTGTTCGAAAGCTGTACAACGACTTGAATGGAAAGTACTTCAAGATAATCATGACCTGCCAATCAATGCTCTCGACGCAACATGTTCTGTCGGACAGATAGATGGAGACTGTGAAGAAAAGTCAAATGTACAGCATACAATTGCCCAAACGATCTATACCATGCCCTACTATACAGTGCGCTGTCGCACGCCAAACTTGAATTACACCAAAGCTTCTTGCTGTCTCGTCATAGCCTGTTTTGCGTGGCTTATGGCCGGACGATGCGGAGACCGTCTTTTGAGGGTGCTGACGCTCGCTTGAATGACTATAACACCTATTAGCAAATGCATGCCCTATCATGGATTCTTTTAGACTGACGTTGTCACACTCTTCCCAGGCTCGTCCGGCACCGAAACCAAGACCAACCCATGCGGGCCACGCGCGTCGCTTGAAGAGGAGGACGGAGAAGACGATACCGAAAGAGACACCAAGGCCTGATCGGATAAGCATCGACGAGAGGCAACGGTCCCACTAGTGACACTGTGTCAGCGGACGGAATTATTGTACAGCAAGCGCAGCTTATCGGCGCATATGTCGAGACGAGTAGGGAGAGGTCGCGTGAGGCTGTAGCTAGCGCAATTGGATGCTTCCAACGCCTCTTCGGGCTGCTAAAGCTGCACGTGAAACCTCCCAAAGCTTGCGAGATCGCTCTACAAGTAGGAGATGCGTGGGAAGATGTACCTTCTCGTTGAGGAGAGATTCGCTCAAGGGACGGGTGGTTCGTGGGATCGGAACGATGGGCTGGGGCGTTTCTTCGGCCATGGCTGCTGTCTGTAGCGGGGCAATTGGTCAATTCGGCGGGGCACTCGATGTGCAAGAGGTGACAAGGTGCGCTGTAGGCGTTGTGTTGAAGCTCCTCCGCGTAGATGCGCGAGCGGAACTTTGACATGGCCGGCCCTTGGCAGGTGCGACCGGGGTGTGGAGGCCCAAGCTCAACTTTTTTCCAACTGTGAAGTCGCTGCACCATCCCGCTAGCTTTGCAACCACAACGCGATTGAGGTGACAAGATGGCGCCAATTAAGCCAGTAAGACTCGTGATATGTGTTACTTCAGGATGCCACTAACATACGTCAGTCCTCGCGGAATGAACCTGCGCCCACCCGCCCGCGACTGCAGTCCATCAACCAAGATTTCTCAGATCTAGACGAACAACTTCGTCAAGCCGCGCATATAATAGGGCTTCCAGGCGACTGGACGGTTATAGAAGAGGGGGAGGTGCGATCTACGGTCATACAAACTCTTGTTCGCGCACGAGCAGAGTGGGTTCTGCGCTGGGTACTGGACAAATTGAAGGATGAGGCGGATGCAGGCAAGACTGCACGGGGAAATGCCACAGCATGGCAGCTTTTGGACTGGATGATGCACGTGCTCCCAGTCTCACGTAGCGCACCACATCTACGCGATGCTGGCTTTCCTTCTATCCTCGAGCGGACGCTACTGGAGAACTTCGATAACGACTCTAGTCTCCAATCCTCTACCTCTGATGACGTCCACATGGAGGATGCTTCCGAGTCGAGTGAGACGGTTCGCGAGGATTCTCAGCCATCGCGGAAACGAAAGCGAGGAACAGTCAACACCAGTCCCTCGAAACGGGCGGCGCTTGTATCCACCAACCGCAAACAGCTATTTCATGTAGTCAGAGCTGCTATAGCCTCTATCGCAAATTTGGCTACGCCGGACAGCAAGAGCGATGACATCACACAAACTGAGCTTATGAAAATGGTGCTAAGGACCGAAAGCGCGCAAGCTTCGCGAATCCTGAGGTTCTGGTTCACGGCTGTGCATCAGATCATGGCTACCGCTTCATCTTCGGTTCAAACTACGCCAAATATAGACCAGTACCTCGACCTTTCCCTTGCCCAGGGAATATGGGAACTGCGTGCTGTTGACTCGAAGGATGAAGCAGGAGCCTCCGCTGATGAATTCAGCACGGAGTGCCTTGTCCCTGCTCTGTCACTTCTCGATGGTCTCACGTCGACACGTCAATCTGAGCATACGCCATGGTCATCAAAGGCCGTCGACCGCGCGATCCAAGTAATTGATAAGCTGTTAGCGAGGCATTTGTTTGCGCCGTCTAGACAAGTTTTCTTCGCCGATGTCCCTGTGGAGTCTGCCAACTCTGGCTCAAAGTTTCGAGAAGCGAAAGCGCTAGCTACCTACCTAGAACCGCTTCGTGCAAAGCTCCTCCAGGCTGCACAGATTGAGGATGCTGGTGAGACTCTGCCCGCCGACTTTGCGCGCCTTTTCGACGCCGTACCACATCTACTAGACTTGGCCATACGTGCTTCGCCCTCTAGAACACCTAAAGGCAGGCTCGTAGAAAAGCCATGGATCCAGGCGACCTTTCAATCGCTTGCTGAATGCGCAGGGTGCTCGCTGAGCGCTCCGCCAACGCATGTCACACGCCAGACCGCTGTCGCTGCTCTTGGTGGCGCTCTTCGCACTCTTCAACTGCACAACGTTAGTATCGATTCTGAAACATTGGAGAACCTCTTTTGGTACCATTGCGGGGTCAAGTACCCTGAGCGCGAAGCCAAGGAAGTGCACTGGTCACTGATTGCTTCCTTGATTCAGCTTGATCCTTCAGTGTTTGTTGCAGAACCAAAATCAACCGGCCTCAAGAGTACACAAAAGCAACAGGCTGATCTCGCGGAGTTCATCTTCGAACAGATATCGGTCGTCGAGTTCGGCGTTGGCTTCGCTGATGATACACTGCCGGACGTCATCGACCTAGTAAAGGTCGGCAAGCAAACCAGTTTCCGCACAGGAAGGACCGAAATACTCGAACGCATCATTGTCCCACTAATGTCGGCTTTCGCGCGAAACCGAAATCTACTTGGTTTTCTCCGCAGGTGGGACCATCAGTTAGTGAGGAGCTACAGACATGACAACCGAAAGGCCCTAAAAGAGCGAAAAGATCCTATCTGGGAAGATCGCACGATCAACAAAGCTTTGATGGGGTTACTCGAACAGTCTTTGACGCAAGGTCAGATTGCAACTCTAATGCAAGAGCACGCCAAGCGCATGACTGAACTTGGCGACGCCATGGAGACTGAATCAAAAGAAGGCGTCAACGTCAAGAAACTCGCTGCTTACAAAAATGCCTCGAGTAGCGCGGTAATGCTCCCAGCCATGCTACAATCGATCCAATTGGATGAGACTATCGAATCTCTCAAGCCACATCTTCACTCACTACTCTTGTCCTACATTACCTGGGTACAAGTCGATCGCTACAGTTTGCATTCACGGCTTGCCTTCTCCTGGTTCACTTTGTGCCAACTCTTGTCGAAATTGTGGCCCATCGAGCTACATAGCTCCGCAAAGATGCAACAAGAATTGCTCATTCCGCTCGTTGAACAAGCTACGAAGGACATGTCTTCAGCACGCAAAGATCAAAATGGGAGACGCGTAGACTCGCTCACACGTGCAGCAGCGATGCTTTTCTTGCTCGATTCATGCGACCATTTGAAGACTGTACCAGGCTCCGAGGACCTGATTCAGACAAGTCTACGCAAAGTTATGAAATGTCTATCTTCTAGTCATCTTGAGTCGAAGGAATACGCGAAGATGATCGAGTTCTTTTGCGCCGATTTTGTCATCCTATTTGGACATCTGAACGCAGAGGCATGTCAAGAGTCACTACATACATTACTCTTGAGGCTATCAGAATTTGACGTTGAGAAAGGTAGTCTCATTAGTAGCTCGCTTTCTCGGTCAATCATCGAAGAAGGAAGCGCGTCACTCCAAAACGCGTACTATACGGCGCTCCTAGAGATCCTTTCACGGGACAAGGAGAGCCACCTGCATGGCATGGTTCTCAAATCGTTCTTGCACACGCACCCTTCGGCGTTTCCGCGAGAAAGAAGGGAAGCAACGTTAGACCGGCTAACCGAGCTTGTTGCTTTGCAGCCATGGGCAACAACTGAACTCCTCAGTGTTATGGCGCATCTAATGGTGGTACCCAACGCAACATCCAAGCTATGCACCGATGGCAGCGTCATTTTCGACATTGCTGATAAGCTTAACAAGCAAGGCCGAAACTCGTCTGCATCGCTGCAGCTATTCCGGCAAATCGTAAAGTCGATCCTCGGCCATGTCATACCAAACCAAGATCAAGCACAGAGCAACTTGTTCCTCGATGAGTTTGCTGGTATGCTTAACTCAATCACGAAAGCGTCGAAGCAATGTTCTGCGCCGAGACTCTCTATCTTGCGTGCCACAATCTTGGCCCAAAAACAAATGGAGCTGCTTGACATCAAGCGATACGTTAAGCTGCTCCAACAATGTCTCACTGACGATGGTGATGAAACTGCTCCCCTAGAGGAGGTTCTGGACGCCTTCAACGATATACCTACTTCCGCGCTGGAGAAAGCTGATTACCTCGCTAAAACGGGGGCATGGCTTCGCACATGGGTCAAGGACAACAGCGACCTAGACTCCTACATGGCGTCCCCCGGTCAAAGTCCACTTGAGTTGGGTGAATATGTTGCACGCCTTCACAAAACTGTGGCCAGATTTAAGCTTTATCCCAGCGAGAAGTGGCTCATTGATTTGACTCTAAGGCTGTCAAAAGAGCCGATCGCCGACGGGTTGAAAAGGTCTGCGCTCGAAACATTGAAGGGGGCTCTATCGTCTCTTCCGACTCAAGACAAGCTGAGCTTAGTCCCTGTCTTGACTGATGTCACCAATCCACTTGATCGAGCAGCATCTTATGGTATACTCAATGATCTCATCATAACCTGGGACGACAAAATTGAAGAGGGTGTCGGGTTGAAGCAGAAACATCTCGCGTTACTTCCTAGAATTTGTGTTCTGCTTGTCGAGAGTCCAGACCATGCATGCTTCAACGCCCTTCTCAACAGCATCAACACTATCCTTAACGATAGACCCTCCTTCGCCTCGCAATATGGCATCGAATGCGTTCTCAGCGCCCTCGTCAAAGTCACTTCGCGAAGCAGCGCAGCGCTCTCAGCTCGCCACGCCACCGATATCTTCTCCCGCCTCTGCGAGACAAGCCGCCTCATACTACTAGTACATCGCGGTCGTCTAGGTGGGCGCTTCCACCTCCTCCTTCCACTGCTCCAGGGCCTGTTATTCTGCCTGTTCATTCCGAATGTTAGCCGCAGTGGTGCTCTTCCATCTTGGCTACGAACAGTCACTTCGACCGACCCTATCCGCCTCAAGGCCGTAAACGCGAATCAATACTCACGCCTCCTCTCCACGCTTTGCAACCCCCCGCAATCATCTATTACCAAAGCGCACCACTACCAATCCTCTCGCAAATCAAAAGATCTCAACGACCCTGTCAAAGCCGCGCGCGAAAAGACGAGTCAATTCCTTTACCCGCTTCTTGCGTCGTTTTGCCGCTTCCAATTGAACGGAAGGCTAGAAGCGGGAGTGAGAGAAAAGCTAATGGTGGGGATATTTGAGGTAATCGGGACAGCGGGTTTGCACAAGGAGGCGCTTGATGCCATGTTTGCAGGTTTAGGTCGGAGCGAGAGAGACGTGTGGAGGGGCTTGTGGAGCGAGTGGGAGGGTGTTCATGGACGGAGGCAGGTGCTTGGGCACGGCGAATGAGGATAACAGTAGACGATTGGGGCAGTTGTAGTCAGTCGCGAGATATCCCAAGACAGCTATTCAGGCTTATATCTGTCCAAGCCGGGGATAAACGTATTTCATACGTAACGCAGATACCTGCTTTGTTGACTCTATCTACTCGCACTGAACTAACCGCTTACTGGCTGATTCTATGAGTTCCATTGCCTTGCAAGATCTCTACCATGTACCCGCCCTCTTCTTCGCCTCCTTCCTGACTATGCAATTTGGACATACTGAATCAGTATTCTAGTACTCCTCATCGCCGGCTCTAATTGATGGTTATGGGAGTCGACTTATCTCAAGCGGCTACCCTCGTAAGGTTAAGCAGCAAGGAACAAGGGCCTTAGAATGTGAATGGTGAAGACTATGCTCTTCCAACATTTCTATGGCGGTTTTTGACGTCGCTATTACGATTGATCATGAGAAGCCACTTTCGATGTTCAGGCCCTATTACAGTTGGCCCTTGCCCTTCGGGAAGTACAACGTCCGCAGGTTGCCCATAGGCAGCTTCTCAGATCTGGATACATCCTCGACGATAGCGTTGGCCAACTCAGCCGGAAGGAATCCTTTGCCACACATTCTGACGGTCCTCCATATCTCATTAATCCTGGTACTCTGATGTAAGAATGTGCGTGAGCGCTTGAAGTAATCTTGCACGAGTACGTTCTTTTTTAGTTCCATAGTCCTGTCCATAGAATCGTGCCATTTCCGAAACTCGTCCGCATCTCGCTCCAACCATCCAGGTACCATATTATCCGCCTTCGATAATGCGAGGCAGATGGGTGCTGTGGCCTTGTCCCATGGGATACGCGAGGAGTCATTTTCCCATTGGTCGAGCAGAATGTGGAGTAAAGTCTCGTCCAACATCCAATACAGGCTTACCCGCTGGCTGTGCAAAAATCTTTCGATGCCGATCTTCTCGTGCCGAAAAACGTTTACCGTCCAGTCGACTAATAAACAGCCAGCACCAGCCCAGTGCTGTGGTGCCTGCGCGGCCGTGGCATTAGCCAAGGCTCGCACGGTTGTGGTGAAGGTTTTGGTTCGATGGAACAGGGCCTGGTACATGATGGAGATCTCTGGAAAGCGTTCCGTAGAAGAAATGACTTCGAAATTGGCCATCAATATTTCTACTTGCAGTTCGCGCTCGAGAACAGTAGGCAGCGGCTGTTCTCGCCACCTTTCTTGAGCAGCCCTGGCGCGATCGATGACGGAGAGCTCTCCACGGGGGGCTTCACTCGCCCCTGAGCACATCTGGGAGGCAGGGATCGCGCAGATACCATGTTCGTTCGGAGCCATTGGAGTAGTAGTTATCGTAGCGGTGATTTTAGGTGTGTTCGTAGTGTCGCACAAGCGCGTGGTCCGGTGTTGGGGCGCCTAAACACTACATCCCGGCATGGTAGCTACCCCGCTCTTACCCATTTCTTTCGAACTATTTCACTGACTTGAAGGATTATTGCGTATACTCAATGATTCTTAGGATTCAATGTTAAAGGGGCCAAGAAACGTCATGAATGAGCTGAGTTTGAATGTGCCACCGCCACCAAGAACGCTAGCGCCCCAAATCTGTGAGTGATTCTATACACTACTCCTCGATTCCCTCTCACGCCCAGTCTTCATTGCTATTATCCTTTGCTATGTCCCCACTCATTATGTTCAGTTCCAAGTTTCCATTGTTCTCCACACGCTCACATCTGAATAGGTTGCCTGATACCAAGATCTCCGCTGCGACTTGCTGCTCACTCTGTGAAGTTACGCGTGGCGCGCCATTGGTTAAATCAAAGATATTTTATACAAGATGTACCCATGTCGTTGAGTATTCAAGATCACACTAATAAAAAGACCTAGAAAAATGCTGTGCCTTTACATGTGCGAAGCATATCAGTGCAGATATATGCGTTCTGGCTCGATGTGATCATTCCTTGCCATCTTAAAGTACATCATTATCACAGCGATTAGTGAAGGACTATACTAGGAAATTTTTATATGGGTGAAGTCTTCAGCATAGGTCTCCTGTTGTGTTAGAGGCCCACTGTAAGAGGAGTAAACGTAGTCCACCGAAAGCACTTACGCCACGATGTCCCTTCTGGGTATTTACAGACATTGGAACCAAACTCCAACTACTAAAAGGGTCAAATAATCCATTTTCCATTTTTATCCATTGTAGATGTCGGGCTTGGAACCATGGTTGGCGACCGTCTCGAAGCCTATCTTGGAAGAATCAATGTAATCACAAACATCTCCGCACTCAAAGTACTTTCACAGAACAAGCGATAGCTCAACTAGGGCGTAGGCGCTTTGAAAGTCCTCTTAGATGTCGGGCTGGGCCATCATAGACCGAATGTATCCAGTGGAACATCAGGGGTCAGATACCGCAACCACGGTTTTTGGCTTCAGATTGTCTTAGAACAACCAAAAAATAACCTTATTAATGCTGTCGCAATTGACTCGATAATTTCGTTACTGGGTATCCGAGCTCCCACAGTTGAATATTTAACAGGCTCGACCTCCGCTCTGCTAATCTTCCTTTTCTTTACCGCTTACACTCAACAATTCCTTCACCACATCTTCCAGCAACACACTTTCTACCTTCAACCTCCTCCAGACTTCTACACGATGAAGTACTTGGTTGCTATCGCAATCAGCCTCGGCGCTGCTGCCGCTGTCGCCGTTCCCGCGAGCGACACCAGTTCCTCCTCCTCCGAGCTTGCCAGCGAAACTCTTGTTTCCAGTTCCTCCTCTGATCTTGCCAGCGAGACTAGCTTGGCCGCCAGGGACCCCCAACGTCGCCCTCGTCCTCGTCCTCGTCCTCGCCCAGCTACCATTACCATCACTGAGACCGCTACTTCTTCTACCACACAGCCAGCCTCTACCGTCACTGTCACCGCGGAGCCTTCTACTGTCACCGTCACTGTAGTTTCTACCACCACTACCATGGAGGTAACCACTGCTACTACTACCGAGGCGACTATTGAGACGACCACCCACGCAACTACCGAGACTACTACCGAGGCGGCCACTGCTACTACTACGGAGCAGATCACGGCTACTACCACGGAGGCGACCACTGTTACCAGCATGGAAGAGCCTACAACCAGCACCGAGATCAGCCTCGTGCCCACGACTACTAGCGAAACTACCACGACTACCGAGTCGACTACATCCGAGGCCGAACCAACCACAACAACCACCACGGTTCCCCCGACTACCACGTCCGATACCACCACAGCAGCTCCCGGTACCACGACGGTTGCTGTCCAACCCACCGCCACGACCACTGCCACGACCACCGCCACGGGCACGACCACGACCACTGCTCGTATGTAGAGATGGCATGAGCCCCAGGGAGTTAGTAACGCTACTCCGTTGCCAGGTGTCTCGGTATTTGCTTTCTTGTGGTTAATCCCGTCATGGTGGAGTACGGAGGAGATGTGGTAAAAGTCGCTCATTAAAAGTGTGTATGTGTTTAGAGTGAGACACCTGTTGCAATATACTGTCTATAAACCCCATCGACGCTCTTTGTTGTGATGTGTGATGTCTATACCGAGTATTTCCTTCCTTGATTTTGCCCATTGTAGAGAGGAGTAATGACTTGTTTGGCTATGGGCATCGCCTCTCGCTACCATAGATTTAACACAATGAACATGTTGTATTTGACAAAGCGGGGATGAGATGACAATCAGGGGTGATAAGCGGAGATGGAGCGGAGATTCAATGGAGATAGACCGGGGGTCTCGGAGCTACCCGTCATAACGAAAGACGCGGGGGGGGGAGCTGCATTATGACGACGCCGTCATTCATCACCTCTATCCCTTTGCCATGTTCAAAATGTCCAAGACTGCCTCCTTACCTCCCACCAAGTCCTGGAGGGCATCCGTCAAAGTACTCTCAGCCACTTTGTCGATATCCTCCTGGCTTTCGATCCCGACTTCCCTCAACGTACTCGGAAGCTCAAGATACTTGACAAAGTGCTCCACTGCATCTGCAAGACTCGTTTCTTCCAGTTTCAGAATCTCGTTCCATATGTTCAATACTCTTTGCTGCACCTCCTTCTGCTGCTCGGATTTACTGTAGGTGTGGCGGAGGACGGGGGCCAGCATAATGCAAGAAGTCACGCCATGCATGACACCGCATACGCTACCTAGCTGGCGTCCAATTGTGTGGGAAGCGCCCATAGGAACGCCCCACAATAAAAGACCCATCATGGCGTTCCGGCTACCGAGCTGACAATCGCCGATTCCCTCTAGTAGCTCGTCGCGGTTTCCCTCACTCGCGCCGTCCTGATAATCTTTCAGGCCTTTGAGGAGTATCGTGAGGGCGTCTTCCATATGATCAAACGCATCTTGGGTACATTTCTCGTTGACCATCGTCTCTACGCAGTGATCGACCGCACGCATGCCTGACGATGCCCACAATTTCTTGGGCGAGGTAGAGGCAACTTCGGGGTCAAGAAGGATGAGATCTGGCGCCGCGTGCTCGCTTGCGAAGTGTTTTTTCTTGTGTGTGTTGGGATTCGTTGCGGAGGAGTTATTGTTCCATTCGCTCGCGCTCAGGCTTGTCGGTACGAGAATCAGCTTGACCGACGGGTCCTTCAGGTTTTCTCCTCTACTCTTCTCTTGATCGATCAGTGCCTCCATCGCTTCCACTGTTAGATTCTGAGTATCGAGGTTCGTCTGCATCAACCGCGCAATCTTGCAAGCATCCGAGTAACTGCTACTTCCTATACTGACCAAGCAGTCTGCTTCTGTCTCGTTCAACAGCTTGGTAATCTCCAGGATGTCGTCGTAGGGTGAGTGTGCACCAACTCCGGACTTCGTGCCTACTATGAACGATCCCATCTTCACTTTCAGCTTCTCTATGACATCTGTCGCCTCATCCAGAGTCTTGGAATGAACCAGCAAGATACGTCGACAACTCCATTCTCCAATCGCAACTACGATATCCTCTAAATATTTCGACTCCAAGATCGCGTTATGCCCTTTACGGGCCGGAATAGGGAGCTGCTGGATCGTGCGCTTATCGCGGCCTGTACTGTAGAAGCTGTAGTTGGACATGGTTGCTCTCGCATGACAGAAAGAAGAAAGAATGTGCAACAGAACAGTCCGATTTTATGCCACAAAGCGTTGTCGTCAGGGTGAAGGTGGTACTACCGTGACGAAAGTCTTACGCAATGCCCCATCCACCCCGCAGACACGACAAACACCCCACTACACTCACACTGAAAATGTCTCGAAAACTTGCCTTCTGCCTAGAAAGTTGGACAGCAAGGTCTCAAGAAGCGAATCGACAGAATCGACGGCCCTCATGGGCCGAGCAAGGCTGCGATAGGTTGCGGCTGGTCAGGGTCTTCGGGTCTCGTCTCGACCTTCCCTCCTCGCTTGCGGCGCTGGAATGGGCGCTGTCTTTGACATTGGCCAGATTCGTGGCAGACCATAATACGCGGGTGGTCTTTGACGGCCTAGTGGTTGCTCGAGGCAAAAGTGTGAGCTCTGGCCAACGACTTTGAGCCAACTTAAAAGCCAAATCGGCGTATTTGCGATCCGTGGGGCGGTGGTTGTGCAGATGTTGCGCAGGAACGTGAAGGCGAGCTCTGCGACCTCAAACAAAATAACCGGGTGTCTAAAACGTGCAAGCGTGAAGCTAGTTGCCCTTCCCGTCGCGAAACGTGCCATAGACTTGTAAAGCACCTTCAATGCTCTGTATGAGGCCAAAGAACACTGTTAAACTGAGGACTACGATGGCCACCCAGAAGGTATACCATTGCACGCCATTCCGACGGTCGTGAAACCATTGCGAAAGTGTTCGCGGCGTGGCCTCATCAAAAACTTGCTTCAGTACGACCAGACGGTCATGCCAGTATGTAAAGTTTTCTATCTGCCTGTCGTCGGTCTTGAGATGACCGCACAGGGTGATGTGGGGATCGAGATCGACGAATGTGGGCAACTGACGACACCAGTCGCTTACGGCAGGATCGGATTGGGGGAAGAGGAGAGCAAGCGTGCGAATCGTTTCTGCGATGAGGCCGTCGGGGAAGGTTGTGCTGTTAAATGTCAACAAGGATCTTATAGACGCTGGACATTTGCTCTCGTACTTGTGCAGTTGGCATTTCAAAACGGATGCGTGGTGAAAGACGTAGAGTTTCGTGTCGTCGTCTGTCAGTCGTAGGTGGTCTAGAAGATTGCTAGTTGGCAAGATGTCCACGCCCGCTATGCGATCGAGATTCAACGCATTGAACACGCGCTGGAGCTTTACGCCTTTGTGGCCGAGCCACGGAGTCGCGTCAAAGCCAGAAGCCACACACTTCTTGATTGAATGCCTAGTCCATTGTAGCTGTCGCCTACCACAGAAGCCATATTGGGTATTCCCGAAATCGACCATGAGCCAAAGGCTCGCAGCAAGGTCTATGGAGCGATCGACGAGCTCGTCCTCGTTGTCATGGGCTTTTGTAAGCTTTGCTCGCAAGTCCAGTTGTATGTCTTCACGCGATTGGCCTTTGTCCAGCGCGATGACAACGTCGAGAACATCCTGATGTGTGCGTGCGAGGACGTGTCTTCCGCCATCATGGAGCGCTCGTTCGCATTCTAGGTGATAAAACTTCCAATAGGCCTCGAATGGGCCATCTTCATCATGAGAACGAAGTGGCCAGGTGGGTGGAGGTCCCCAAAGGGTATTGCTCACGAGTGCTTTGGTCGAAGGGTGGAGTGTGTCGAGGAGAGAGGCGGATGGGGAAGCCATAGCGCTAGCCTCAAAAGAGAAGTGACGATGTGGGGTACTGGGCCAGAGAGCAAGCAACCTCAGAAGTACAATCTTCACTCAGGACAATGACAAACTTCAACGGACACACCGTGGCTATAAGCACCCATTCATATCTGCACTATGGACGAGATCTACCTAGTGCTGCGCATGCGAAATAAGTCTCGATTCGCGTAGTGTCCTGCAGCTTGCGTTGCCTCAGCCGCAGCTGCGCATTAAGCCGCGTCTTCATCTCACCAATCCCGCCACATGAACACACTCATATTCTGCTCAGTTTGCCCCCACTTTGTTGTGCCAGAATGAACTGAATGTCGATAACCGCCACTACCTTGTGGGAAACGCCAACCATGAAGGCATTAGCCAGCATTCGACGAGGCAGGACCTTGCGCAATGCAAAGGCTGGGACCAGCCCGGTTGTAAACTGTTGGCCGTGTCCACAGCAGTCCGTCGGGCGATTCATCGCAAAAATTGGAAGTCAGAGCTGCTGGGAAGCCGTTGGACCAGCGCGGACGGCCTTCGTCACCCTTGGCCAGAAGATTAAGCAGTACCTGGATACATATAGCGAACCCACGCCTACATGGATTATTTGGTCTATCTACATGGTTGGCGATGCGCCAGAAACAGCTGTGCCTACCATCATCTTTTGTTGCGAAGATGAAGTTCATCGCAAAACGGTTAGAAATACCATCAGAGACGGCGGCGTACTAGAAGGCTACTCCGGTATCGCTCTGAAGCATTTACCAAGAGCGCCCGACTACAATCAACTGGTCCAGTTGGCTTCATCCAGCGATGGGGAGAGCGAAGAAGTTCGGGCTCAGGGATGGCCTCCATACGGTCCTGAAATCCTCAGTACCTCACGCCATGCAATTATCGGTCGCCCGCTATACATCCAAATATCTAACGGAGTTCATAAAGCGACAGCTGGCGGGGTAATACGCATCCATGGCAAAAAGTGCTCGACAACCGCTGCTCATGCTTTTGCTCATATCCCAACCAAGCCTTCGAACTCGGATCCGCTAGGGGAGGACCTTTACTTCTCGGATAGTGATGAGGACGGCGATGCAATGAGCGCGGCAAGTTACAGCTCAGACTTCTCTCAGTCACAGGATGACGATAGTCTCTTATCGTCACCCCTGAGCTGTTCTTCAAGTATTACCGCTCCGCCGATTGGTAGAGACACAGTAGAGACCATCGAATCAGCTTCCGAAACTTCGGCAGAGCTTACAGACCCTCAAATCGAGACTGCTTTTGAAGAACAAGTGATTCCACTTCCGGATTCCACCTCTGTTATTGGGAACACGTTATTCCTATCGACGGAGGGTTTACAGCCAGATCTTGATTATGCTTTGGTTTGGTTGACAGACGACTCTTCAGATGCTTCTGAAGGATCATCCCAAGAATTAATCCTGCCAGTTCCCACAACCGCCGAAGACTTCCGCCACCTCAAGAATACTTCCGTGACTGCTGATACTGCCTCTGCTCGTACAGTAAGCGGTCGTATCAGTATAGCGCCTGTATTCCTACGGCTACCCAATGCCACCACCTACCAGGAGGTCTATCGCGTCGAGCTAGAATCTCCACTTGCACACGGCGACTGTGGTTCGTGGGTATTCAACGCTAGTTCCGGGTCACTGCATGGCCATATTGTTGCAGGGTCTCCTAATAGTGGGACAGCATACATTGTCCCGGCATACCAGATATTTGATGACATCCATCGACATCTCAACATCATCAAGCAACGATTCGATCGGCTCGAACAGATCATCGCCACTGTGTCAAGATCTGAAAATAGTCTAGCCGAGCAACGGGACACTGGCACAGACCTGCAGCCGGCGGGCTTCACTAGCACCACAAGTGAGATGAGACCTAATCACGTTGATGGACCCACATCTGGAGGACCAGAACTATCATCTACGGTTGCGAAACTGTCCAGTAGTGCTACGAAGCCGATGGCTCAGTCAGCTTCTAGCTCTACATCTTTTGAGGCTACATCGGCAAGCCAGGAACACCTCAGTCGTGGAATCTCGATCCTAGAAAACCATCAATCTGTTGATAATGTACCCGACACATCTGATTACTCGGCCACGGTTCAAACTCTAAGTTCTGGTCAAGCCAGCCTGACGCACAATCAAGAGGCTAGAACCCAAACGACATATGCGGGAACACTCACAACTCAGTTCCGTGCTATTTTGAGCCAAAAGCGGATCCAAACTCTTCAAGACATCAAGGCTCACATATCAGACCCTCACATTGAGTTATCTGAGTTTCTTGTTCAAAACTCGAACTACAGCGACGACCCTCCTCCTCCTGCTTACTCTACGATACGGAATATTCCACTCGTCCCTATGCAGCCTGTACATGCCAAAGGAATCAGATTTAGGAGCATGTTGCTTCATATATCTACCATACCAATGCAGTGGGAGAACCCGGGCTTGCTAGATGAGGCTTTGCAATCAGTCCCACTAGAACATATTTACCATGAGGCCGAGGAAGAGAGTCAAATACTTCAAGCCGAAGCAGGAAGTTTAGGGACAGGTAAGGGGCCGGCTTGGGGTTATCAAGACTGCGTTGCCAGAGCACTGCTTCGCTGGTTCAGACGTAGTTTCTTCACGTGGGTCAACAACCCATCTTGCAGTCGTTGCCATAGCCCCACAGCGGCTGAGGGTCAAGCTGTGCCGGACCCGGACGAGATGGCCCGCAGTGCAAGGAACGTCGAACTCTACCGGTGTATAGCTTGTAATAACTACGAACGATTTCCGCGATACAGCGACCCGTTTGTTCTTATGCAAACACGCCGTGGTCGGGTTGGAGAGTATGCCAATTGTTTTGGCATGCTGTGTCGAGCTATAGGTTGTCGGGTGCGATTTGTTTGGAATGCGGAAGACAACGTGTGGACAGAGGTGTATTCGATGCACAGAAAGCGTTGGGTACATCTAGACTCATGCGAGGAAGCCTGGGATAAACCGCGATTATATACAGATGGTAAGCAATCGTCTCCTTTGCGGTATTGGATGCTGACGGAAAGCCTAGGGTGGGGTAAACAGCTTTCGTATTGTATCGCGTTCTCCGCCGACGGCGCTGCGGATGTGACAAGACGGTACATACGTTCCGCCAAGTATGCTGCTCGTCGAGACCGCTGTTCCGAACCTGAGCTACTTCACATTATGGACGAGATACGAGCTTTACACCACCAAAAGCTGAGCAAGGAGGATCGAATGAGACTTGAAGGAGAGCACATGAGGGAGCAGCGTGAACTGCGCGCTTTCGTCATCCGCGAACTCGTTACCGATATTTGCTCGCTAAGTGTCGAAGAAATGGCGGACGGTTCTATACGTGTTATCAAAGGAGCTGAGAAAAGTAAGGAAGCTGAAGAATCTGATTGGCTCACCAGCGAAACGAGTAAGCATTCGAGCAGTCTCTGAGGCTCTGTCGCTGACTGCGTACAGATATTCTAGCGATGCAACAGCCAAACCGCAACATTCATTGAGGTTGTTGTGCTTCGCGCATTCTGGTACGACACCATCATGCCAGCCAATTCATTACAAATGCTGTGGTTTCTTGTAACAGTCAGAATTCGTTATGATCGATGTAACTCAATTGCGGCCTTCGTCGTAAACCGGACTACCACTTCTACGATATGAACAACTCTTAGCACATTCACTTCTTTCCAATCACGTACTTTCTAAACCTGAAGCCTAGCACTTACTCACAATGATAACAAATACGAGTCTAGACTGCCTGCCCGAAGAGGCAGAGTTACATACTGATTGTTTTGCAGACAGCAATGTAAGAAATTTGTATCATACAGTTACAGCAGGTTGTATTACAACTTCGACGCAGAGTAAAGGAAGCTGGAAGATGATCTTTTCCAAAATACTAACCATGACGATTCCTCCAAGTTGGCACAGTTAAAGCAAGCTCACTACCTGGCTTTACACACACGTGCAGCAGTAGTACGCAGCCACCGAGAGTCCGTGAGGTAACGACTTCTTTTATTGTTCAAAATTAATGGCGACTACCGGTTGCCCTTTTCCTTTGTTCTTCCAGTCAATGTTCTCAAGTTTTGTGTCCGCGGACCTTACACTTTCACGCTGTCACGTCTCGCTTAGCATCCCGTATCCATCGAGTCTTGATGTCACCCCGCAAACTTCGTTCAAGAATCATCCTTATGCAGGACCGAGCCATCCTTACACGTCAGACCAGGCACACCATACCCCAGCATACGCTAGGCCTATCCCGCGTCTCGCCAATCGTGAATGGGTGGAGACTTGAGGGCTAACAGCATGTTTCGCCCGCCTCCACATGCTACGTACTGCAAGCGATGTGTGATTGGAACGGTGATATTGGCCTTGACGTATTGTATGATTTCGCTAATCTCGTCAGTGGTATAATGCTAAGACGATCGAGTCTTGATGTCACGGCAATGCGAACAACGGCATCAAGGCAATGATGAATGTGCCGTGTACAATTAGGTCAAGGACGAAAATACATAAGAAACCAACTTCTCAATACAGATGAGCATGTCCATCATCTCACCTAATATCCTCGAACTACGCACCGTCGAGCGCCCAATCGCACTTCATCGTCACCATGCACACATCCCTATTCCTCTCTCTGGGCCTCTTGCCCCTCGCTCTCGCCCAAGAACAAGTCCAAGAGGCACCTCCCCCACCAGTAGTCATCCTCTCAACCATCAAGTCCGGCGTCATCCCAGTTCTACCTTCAGAGACTCCATTCGCAGGCGTCGATACGCTACAAGGTGCCATCATCTCGCCGCGTCCCCCTCTACCCGGCTACACAGGCCTCCTCGGCACCGCAACCGCGCAATCCAACCAACCCACTGCAACCTACCTTGCGTCCTTACCAGAGACCCCATTCAACCCCCTAGTAGGCGCACCCGTGCAGGGAAGCCTAGAAGCAGTCGGAGGCCCCAACGGCGTTACATTCACCGTCAACATCACCAACCTGCCCGACCAGGCCAAATACGGCCCGTTCAACTGGCACATCCACACGCTCCCCGTTCCAGACGATGGAAACTGCACCGCCACACTATCCCACTTCGACCCCACGAATCGCGGCGAATTGTACATGTGCGAAGCTGCGCGCCCGGAGACGTGCCAGGTCGGCGATCTTGCTGGTAAACATGGCGGCAAGATCACTACGCCCAAGACCTTCACGACGACGTTTGTCGACGCTTATCTGAGCACCCAGGAGGGCAGCGCGGGCTTCTTCGGTGGCTTAGCGTTTGTTCTGCATACTGGGAATACGACGCGGATTACTTGTGCCAACTTTGAGATGGTCGTGGGAAGTGGGAATGGAACGAGTGGGGGTGGGAATGCTACTGGGACGACGGGCGTGCCGGGTTCCACGGGTACCGCAATGCCTCCGCAGTTTACTGGGGCTGCTGGTGGAAAGATTGGTGCTAGTGTTGGGGCACTTGCTATTGCATTTGCGGCGCTGTTGGTGTAGAGGGGTGTTCTATTTTTCCGGCCAAGTAGATGTATTATCATTTTGGCGGGTTGTAATGGGAGAATGTCACTGTATATTCCCCTTACATATATCATATAAAGCTCGTGTTCTAACATGCCCACGCGTACTTGTAGTCCTCGGATAATACCGTCAATAGTCATCATTCGTAATGCGAGGTAAGGCCGACCCATGCATGAGGCCGCGCAATTCCTCAGAGGACGTCAGCTATCTAAACCATCGCCCTCAACTTTAAACAGGTTCTCCCCCTTTTATTCATGCCCTTTTCTTGGGTCTACATCCCATCGACTATGAATTAATACCCCATAATGATAATCACCATCACGTCCACCCGTTCCTCGAAGTTATACTGATATGATATTACGGTAGCGAAAGGTACCAAAAGGAAGACTCCTAGGGGGTATATCGGCGAAAAGTTCGGCTCCCGCCAGGCCAAAGCAACATAACGATATGTACTGCTCGATGTGAGCTCAGATTAACCATAGCACAGGAGGTGGACAACAGCCAATTGCGGATCCCGCTCAGTCCACAATGACTCCCTTCACGCCAAACCTCCCGTGTCTACAAGTATCCTCATCTGGGTCGAACGATGCACCACGTCGTTCAGGCTTGTGGATCCGCACAAGCCACAGGAAATAATCCTCAAGGGGCAGCAAATTCAACAACACGCGGTTGCCCGTCCACGCTAAACCGCAGACCATGGCACCGGCTACAGCATCTAGGGTGAAATGGTTCGCAGTTGCAACGATGGCCATGAGGATGATGGAGGGGTATGCGACACCGAGGAAAATGCACAGCAGGCGGCGAGGAGAAGGAATCCGTATGCGCAGACCCATAGTAAGGGGAATAGTGCGGGAGCGACGGTGCTGAGGCGCCAGCGGTATCGACATGATAGTGAGACCAATAAGGAGGGAGTAACCGAAATGCAGAGACGGCATAGCGGCGTACTGATTACAGAACTTGTTCTGTGTCCATACACTGCTTTCGCCTTCCGCGCCATGCACAGTGTCCACGAAGCCATAGCTACGAGCTTCCTTTCCGATGGAGCCGGAGATATTGGGGTCGGAGAGTAGGCGGGGTGGCATGCATGGCCACAAGGTGAAGACGACAAAAGCGATGAGGTTACACATAGCCATTGTTCGTCTCCTTGCCGCATACAACTTTGGCCCAGCAGAACTCGCATCCGCTTCCCCCTTGGTCTTGTTGTGTAGGGGGAGGTCAATCCGGTTTTGCGCCGTGGTGTAGTAAAACAGCCAGACAAGGAACAGGATGGTGCCGGGGATATGGATAAAAGAGTATATGCGATTGGTCCAGTGCATCAAGAAGGGATGTTTGAGGAACCAATGCTGCACATCAAGCTCGTGGAACATGTGGAGCCGTTGCTCGAGGTGGATGACTTGGAGAGCGTGGCGGCGAGCGACGTTGACGGTGCCTTCGACCATTGTTACGGCGGTGAATGCGCGACCGAGCTGGTATACCTATTTGGGATACAGTCAGTATACTCCCTAGGTTCACCTTGCAAGAGCTGGAGCTAGCTTACCCAGTAAATCAACGCCCAATACCAGGCTTCCACCAAGAATGGGAATTTCCTCAACAGCCTACTCAAAAAGTAGTCCTGGAACCTCTTTGTATTCGGGCTCATAACCTCCTTCCTCAAGCCCAGCACCCGTATCTCCCTCATCCGCCATTTCGGCACCTCATCATTATTTGCTAAAAGACTTGAGCTGGATGATGGGCTCGAACGACCAGAGGAGGATTCTGAAGAAGCAGGTGACGACGAGCGCGGCGAGTTCTGGTATACTCTCCTACGGCCGAGCAGGTGGTAATCTGAGTTTCGGTTCACCCATGTGCCTCCGAAGAGTAGTGTGACTACGACGAGCGGTTCTATGAACGCTCCCGCACCCATGATGGAGGTTTACGAAGACGAGTGGCAAGATGTTTGCAGGTGTTCGCAGACGGTTGCCGTCAGAAAGGACGTGAAATTCGAATGGAAATTAGGGAGGGGTGAATTAGGAGAGCCTAAGAGATGGTTGTCCGCGGCGGTCCGAGAGATGACATAGACTAAAGGTGTCGGCCGAATGCAACTTGGGTATATGTCAAGAGGTGTATCTCTAACGGAGACCTAGGTAGTAATCCTTGGAATGTTGTAGAGAAAAGATAGGAAGAACAGGACCTTAGGAGCAAGAAGTAAGAAGTCGACACCCAAGACTTGAACGGCGCAAAGATTAATCAAGGACCATAGCGGAGGAATAGTGGCGCATAGTGAAGTCAGCGGAACGGCTTGGAGGGCTTGGTGACATGACTAAAAGCAGGAAAAGGCAAGGGCCGGCCATGGAGCTTCGGACGAAGCTGCCTGGCAGTATTCGTGCGTAGCCGTTAGCATCTGGGTGTATGAAGAGCCGACTTCCGTTCGTGATTACAGCTAGGTTGTTTGCATGCTGGAATGTTATTTGTCGGGCCGTGTGTCACTGTGTAGTGCGTGACCACCGACCACTGGATTCTCACGGAGTAGTCGCCAGCGCATGGCGATCTCGAAATCTGGACCAAGATAGTCCTCTTCGTAGAGATGGATTATGCTGACGTGCTTCTTTGTGCTCGCGTGCGCTCGCATTCCTCGCTGGAGGGCGTCGTGAGGTGTGGTGTAGGAGGCAAGGGCACGCGACCCACAACCGAGATAGTATAGGCTTAGCGTCCGCCTGCTACCGGAGCTAACAGATCAACATGCAAAGGAAATCTCGGCAGGATTTATAAGTGCAGCGGAGCGGAGTTTAGCTCACAGTAGCCAGGACTATACGGCTGGATAGCAGCCCGGCTGGCTTCTTTGCCTCCTGGTATCCTTCACATTAGGGTTTGATGGCTTCCGGCCAAAGTCGGCTCGTCGACACATGCAGTAGCAGACGCTCTTCTCTCCTAGGACGGTGAAGGGTTGCATGGTGAAGAGCTTATCTGATATGTAAATGTGTTGACGCTGACCCAATGCCTTCCTTGAGACTTTCTAGTTGCTTGCAAAGCTTGGCCAAAGACAGCCAAGACTTATATGCGCTTACTTGTAACCCTTCAGGCGCATAGTGGACACCATCAACTCGCCCGACGCGTCTAGGATGCCAGGTCGATCAGCCAACATCCGTTCCGCCCATTGCCGGCCCACAATGATGTCAGGCAAGTGTCTGATTGAATCGTAGATATCCCTTGTCTGTTATTTCTTGGCTTTGGGCTACTCCAATCTATGCAATTAAATTAATGAGACTTGATTCTTCTCCTGAGTAGCGTATATGTGTGCTTGCTGGACAAAAGCGAGATGCACAAACGGCAACTAGAGCCGAGCACTCCGGGAAGCTATGGTACTAAGGAAAGATAACTTCGTATTACAGCACATGAACCACCCTCGCTATGCATCAATGCTTCAAAGACAGACCGTAATGAAGTCCCTAGCCAAAATTGGCGCCAGCCACCTCGAGGTGACATAATTATCGACTATCCCAATTCCCCCTAACCATCCGGAACGCCTTGCTGAGTGGGATCAAGGAAAGTAAGAAAGTGTATCGAACCGTAGATATGAACAATGAAAGTAAAATGGACAAATAGACAAATGAGATGGGGTGCGGTGCCGCTCCACAGAATCTAGGTCGAGTCGCATCAGCAAGCCACGCTCGTGAACGGCGCGCTCTCTTGCAGATCCTCAACAAGAGCATCCACGTTGCTGAGGTACTTGCCGAGCATGTACTGCTTCTCCTCTTGGCTCCGTGTGTTCTTCTTCGATGCGCCTCCGCCATCGTCGCTGTTCGTAGTGCTATTCCGTCGATCGAATGCGCTCGCAAGCTTTGGACTCCGTTGTAGGGGTGTTTCGGGCATGAGGTAGAAATACAGAAACTCCAGCAGCTTGACCTTCACGCTCTGGGTCGTCTCTTCGTCCTTGAACAAGCTCGTCACGGTGAGCAAGCCGTCCATGTGCTCAAATGTACGTGTGTTTTGCGGCATGGCGAGCAGGGCTGTGACGATGACGAGAAGAGCTTGGGACTGTATTGCTGGGCAATTGTAGGGATCGAGGAGGTCGAGAAGGAGGTTCATGTAGACTTCGCGGCCAAAGAGGATGCGGGATGGTGCATGTAAGAGGAGCAAGCCTTGGAGGTTTGACAGCGATGAGAGGATGAGAATGTCGTTTTGGCCGTCTACAAAGTTTACTGTCAGTTCAGAATCGCATGATTTAGGCGCTTAGCATTACCTTTACTGCTTCCCATACCAAGGAGTCGTTCAAGGCAGTCTGCCACCCGCGACGCAACTAGAAATTGGGTCAGTGTATGTCTCTAATTTTCATGTGTAGTTGGTGAACTCACCATTCCACTCAAACCCCTCTTGTAAGCGGAAGAACTCTCTAAACGCCGGGTCCTCGGGCAACTGTCCCAGCTTTTTCGGTGTCGACTGTTGTTGCTCGCCCAAGTTGATGGCAGATGCGTTCCGTCGGTGACCAGGTGTAGATGGTCTCGCCTTGCCGCTGGAGAGACATATCTGCGCCAGCATGCCTTCGATCTGGCGTAGCCCCTTGCGGATCTTCTGTGTATCCTTGGACGCGATATTGTCGAAGGCGAGGGAGAGCAGGGCCTCCATTGTGGAGAAGTCTTGGCTATCGTCGCAAGTGTGGTAGTCGTAGCGAACGTGCAGCTAAAAGCGCAACAGAATGTAGTATGGCTATGGATGCACTTGAGATGTCGCTCCGAGCGGTGTAGATATAAAAGCCGGCGAGAGGAGAGGAGGATAGCAGAGGCGCATGCAGCTAAGAGCTTGGAATTGCGGAGAAGGATATATATCTTAGCTTTGTGTGGGTCGCAATCGGGCGTTGGTGGCCGTGTGCAACGACATCGATAAACACCCGCCCGTTGCCAGGGAAATGGCGACCCACTGATTGAGGCCCGAGCCGTGCGCCAGCAATGCCGTCATATCGCCCGTCGGATATATTTTAAAGACTGCAGTTGGGCAACGCATCTTTCTTGACATGGCTGTCTTGTCGCGACATCTTCTACTACTACGTCTAATAGGATTAATGCGTGTCGCGACGGGCAGTGGCAGCGGCAGCGGCAGCGGTAGTATCCTGGCCCGTCGGCGAGAGTTCACCTTCTCCTCGACAGCACCAAATTTCCTACTTCAACATCTGCCAACAACGAGGAATTGGCGATTATTATAGAACAAAGTCGCGAAAAGGATAGCAACCTATGAGGGACGATGCGAAAGATACATTGAAACCCCACTGGATTCCACGCTTTTCCTATGCTGCTCACCGGACCTTAGCGTGCATCATCATCCATGGATACCTTTCTCAATATGGCTCGCTGTGCCCCTCTCCATCGCATCATTCACCTTGACCGCGGCACAAGTTTGTAACGCTATCTTCTAGTTTCACCTTCCTTGGGGCTTAGAGAGAGAGAGAGAGCTCCTCCTGTGACGCTATTCGCTCAGGTCCCTTCAAGGTTGCTGAGCCACACAGCGGAGCCCCATCAGGTCCACCCCAGTCTTCAGCCTCGCGGACATACATATATCTCCTGGGCAGCAATGGGCAGTAGGCATCCAACCTGATAATTCCAATTCAATTCCTCCATACATTGTGGGGTGCAATTTACTTCAGCTCCACGCACCTTGGCCGATAGACGCGACTAAGACATGGGCAGAGCACGAAAGCGCGATTCTAGTACATCAACTAGTACCCTTGTTCATCTAGAAGATCCAACTAACAGCAATGCAGGCGTCCCTATGCTCCTTATTATACTTCTTATGATACTTAGGTTCGTACTCTTCGCACCAAGTGGATATTACCGGGCAATCGCAAAAAACCATGACAGAGTCATCCAGCGTCATATCGAGCTTCACAATGGTACCTACAGCATGGCCATCACCACTGGAGAGAAAATAGCAGGCAAATGGGCCTCCATCGCTTTCTTCTGGAACATCGCCCTATGGGTACCTAGCTTGGTGTTCTTCCCACCCCTAAATGCCCCGTTTATGGTAATGGACTCGGTAATTACTGGTTACCTGAGTAGAGCGACGAGCTATCAGACCAGCTACAGTCCGCATAACAAGCGCCTCTGCAATCCGGATCATAATCCCAATTTCCACGACTTGCTGCGACCGGCCGGAGTAAATGAGAGTTTCTTCGAAGCTGCATCAAGGCTCAATTCGACTGTCACGACGCCGAAGCAGATGTGTGAGAGTTTTGTGCAGGAGTGGCAGTATGGTATTACTCTATCGTACGTCCCCATCAGTGCTCCTTCACTCACGTTGCAGTAGACTTGTTGACGTTGAGCATAGCTTCTTCTTCGCACTCATCTCCCTCCTCAATATTACTGCATTCCTCTGCGCCATAAAGCAAGCCACGATTGAGGGAAAAACTTTCTATCAGAAGTTTCTCACACTCTATTCACCTATCTACAGGGTCCTCAGGTACGTACCTACAGCGCTATTGATGCTAGTGACCGGCATCTTGTACGGCCTGCCCGAGTGTATTCTTAGATGCTTGCCTGCATGCATCAGAAGACCGATGCGACATGGCCGGCGTTATGCCTTAAAAGCCGGACTAGGCGTTGGACAAAAGATGGAAATGCAAATGACTGAGCTCAAGACGGAGTTCATGCATGCAAGAGGCCCAGAAATAAACAAGGCCAGGTACACAGGAGGTGGCGGGAAGCAGAGCCCACTGTCCGAGTTTCTGAGCATCTACGACTTGTTGATGCTCGTCGCCGAGCAACTACACTATCTCGACGTCGTCAATCTGAGCCGAGTATCCAAAAGCGTGCGCGAATCCGTCCTCCCAGCGCACGACTTTGACCGCCGCATGCACGTCTTCAGAACGTACACCTGCGAGCCCTCAGAAAAGTCGACCTGCTGGACTTGCAGCAACCAAATATGCTCGGTGAGTAGTTCCCACACGGATACGTACCCTAGGAGGTCTAAACTAACCTACCGAAGTCAGAGGATTGCGCACAGCCACAACTCATCCCCCAAACCACATTACTACACCACCTCGACTGTTGCAAACCCTACTGTACATCTTGCTACAAAGCCCATCTTCTCAGAAGTCCCAAGAGCAGCCGCGGTGAACCTTATTGCCGCTGCGCACCCGTGCCTGCCAACCCGAATCTGTACCTGCGCCTCTTGAACGGTACTACATACTATGTGAACCAGCAGACCAAGTTACCCCGGGTTATGCGACCCGTTTGCAGAGAGTGTAACCTCCACGGCGATGTCAAGTTGCTGAAAATCGGAGAAAAAAGAGCCAAACTACAACTCAAGCAGGGCTTGCAAGAGACGGGGAAGGAGTGGACGATGTGTGCGCGGGTAGGGTGCGGGGGGAGCCTAGGCATAGGGCCGAGGTGGTGGATTTGCAGTAAAAGCTGGTGTGGGAAGGAGTGCAAGAGTTTGTTGCATGGGGCGTGGGGACGGACAAGAGAAGAGGGAGGAAAGGATGGTGCGGTTGTTGTGGGTGAGCAGGCTGTTTGACGCCTCGTCTCATCGGAGATATGTACAAAGGTATAGACCATCCGCGTGACAAAGTAAACCCGCCACACCATAACTCCTATCCCCATCGGCCATTCAAATTCCACAAGCCTCGAGACCGTCAGATCACAAGCCATACTTGACTACCCGTCGGGTCGATGTGAGACATTCAATCATGAAGACTAGGAGGACACGACACCCAGAATGAACGAGCAGTCCATCTCCTTGACCTAGGTTGAGTGAGCAGCTGCCCGAGATATCAAAAGACCATATGCTTACCCTTGAACCTCCTGACTTGCAAGACAGCTCAGAAGCTGACCACCTTGCAGCCCTGCACTCTCCACACTGCTTCCAATTCTCGTCGTCTGACCATTCGCACCCAATTACACCGTTGGTATACGAGTATTTGACCTTTGAAGCGTTGTCTAAACGAGTTAATTTGCGTGTGATGTCCAATTCGGAAGTATACTTACAGTCGAATGGACCGACGTAGAATGGGGGATAGCCAGGAACGCGATGATCGATGCCGGTACGCAGACCAGGACGCAAATTCACATCGGCAACGACGTTGCCATTGCTGTAAACTCCTTTGGCTTTCTTCGCGCCGTCTTCGCAGTATTCAGTTGCTTGGAAGTGGAAGGGGAGGATCCACGTCTCAACTGCTGGGGTGGCAGTTGTTGAGGTCTTGGAAATCTGGGGGATCACGCTGAGTGTCTTAGAAGGCTTCAATGCGTCGGCTTCTACGTCTGCAATAGTCGTTGAAAGTTCGCGCGCGGCAATGGGCTTGGGATCGTCATGGGCGGTATTGCCCCAGTCGACAACGACGTTGCAGTTAAGGGTGTGAGTCTATGGTACGTTAGCAACCCGTGGAACTAACGGGGTCCTTGCGGATACTGTACCCTTGGCTCCTGGTTTCCTGCTGCGCAGTTGATTGGGCTTGATGGCTGCCACGTCTCGCGTTCTTTACACCAGCCGCATTGCTTCATCATGGTCTCACTCCACACGCAATCGCCATACTGGAACTGCACCGTTCGAGTCCAGTAACTGTATGGTCCGATTATGAGGTTGACGCCTGCGTAGCCTAAGTTGATGCTGGCGGCTCTGTTCGATCCGAAGTAATGCATATAGCCACCGCTACCGGCCCAGAAATATCCTTTCGCCTTTCGAGGCGTGCCTTGACTGGCTTCGCAGTATTCTGTGACCTTGAGAGTAAACGGGTAGATTCCGATGGGCCCAGCATGTGAAATGGGCGCGGCAGTGGGGAGCGGCTCATAGGACTGGGTGACTGTGGTGGTCGGCGGAACGTCGTCGGTCTCTTTACGCGCAGTAATGAACTTAGTGCCAGCTTGGACAACTTCATTTGCGCCGTTTTGGGCGTCCATGTTGATGATGCAGTTCGTTGTGTAGGTCTACGACCTGTCAGACATTTCTCAGAAGCCATAAGTGTGAACAGCCTACCCTCGAGGCACCAACAGAGCCAGTGTCGCAGTGGAGCGGCCCTGAAGACCACCCACTCCCACGGCACCACCCGCACGACTTGAACTCGTATAGGCCCCATTTGCAGGACCCATAGTAAAAGTTGACCCAAGCTAAAGGGAAGATACGAGTCAGTCCATGGTCATAGTTGGCACCTCCCATATCCGTAGGACTTACAGTTGGCCGCATCCCATTCTATGTTAAGATTGATGCCACGACCTAGCTGGATGAATACAATCGCCAGCTTAGAGAGCTGGATCTCAGTGCTGAAGCCATAGCTATTCCACACCCCTTTCGCCTTCTTGTCGTTGCCATCGCAGTACTCTGTCACAGTAAGGCCAAAGGCGTGGAATTGAGCGTCCGCACTGCTTGTGACTGGCGGTTGAATCACCTGGAGTGAGTCGTTCACCGTTGCTGCGAGCGCGTTCGCTGTGGCCGCAAAGCCGAGCGCGAGCTTCGTGAGCTTTATGAGCTTCATGAAGGGCGACAGACTCGCGCGGTGATTATTCTTTGTCAATGGCGACTGGGGAATTGGAGCCAGGTATGGAGGAGAGTCGTAGGATGAGGGAGAATGATGTAAGGCGTACAATAAAGTGAGAGTAACCGTAAAGTGGGGAAAGGTGAAGGCGACTATAGAGAGAAAGGGAGCACGGGCGCATTGATGAGCAAACGGGCAAGAGCGAATCCTGTACATGACCTAAGAAGCTAACACGTGGGAGACGACACTCGAATAGAATCTTCGAGGGCACTGAAGAAAAGTGAAAGCTACACTGGACAAGGGCATCGCAGCTTCGAGCTTGAACGAGCGAAAATGCAGGCTGCCTACCGCACCCAATCTTGTGGCTAATGATGCAATTCCTTTGAATGTAATCCCAGTTGATAGATGAAAGAGACACGAGGAAATAAAGTATGATGTGGAGGAAAGTAGTATTACAATTGATATCAACACGAAATATCTTACGCCACACTCAGCGCATAGGGTATAACATAAGGAGGGTATGAAGGATCCAGCCCGCCAACGCCGAACGGTGCAGTTTACAAAGCGCTAGTGTTCACTCTCTATGACGACAAAACAAAACAACGTACAAGAGTAATTAGAGTTTCAACAAAGGGAATTAAAGACATCTATCAGCGCCTGCTGCTCTTCGTTCCGTTCCGACTTGGCCTCTCGTCCTTGTACTGGCGCTGAGTGTCCTGTCGTGGAACACCCATCTCCTCATCCGGGACCCGTCGACCGTCATAAGCGCGTTGCGGCTGGCGAACGTTGTCGTGGCGGTCGTCAAAGTCATTGCGTCGCTCCTCCTCATCATCAAAGTCGACGTAGACGGAAGCAGGGCGCGGTCTTCGCTCCCTTGGCAGTTGGGCATCCTTGGCGCGGAGCTCGTCCGGCTTGTATACCTTGTCGAGATGTTCCTCGAGAAGTCGGACATTCTTGCCGTTGCACTTGACGGCTGCGTCTGCGATATCACCAATGAAGGGTACGAGGCCGACAATGAAGTCAATGGCGAGGTTGACAAGCATCATCACGAGAACGCCATTGGGGAGACCACATTCGACCTTCCTCATGCCCAAAATCAGGTTCAGCGCAAGAAGAGCATCGGCGGCATCACCAACGGCGGGTACAAGGCCGATGACTGACGACCAACCGAAGCGGATACCAGCAAAGGTGAACAGAGCGTAGTCGAGCCTGTAGGCCGTCTTGCGGGCCTTGGCGAGGACATCGGCGTCGTGGGATGGGATGTATGCGGGAATCTGCTTCTTGACCTTCTTCGTTTTGCCCGGCTTCCTAGGGTGCGGGATCTCTTCGTAGTAGGGGTCCTGAGTCGATGTTAGTATAAGTGAGGTGAGGTGACACCAGAGGCACTGACATAGGGCCCTGAGGCGTCCTTCTTCTTGTATTTCTCCATCTCCTTGCCCAACACCTTCTTCATGGCGTACTTTGCGACTAATTGCGTCATGTTTGTGGTGGTGTGTTTGTGTTTGTATGAATGGGTGATACGGAACGCGGTGTGAAGAGGGTGAGACCAGCTACGGATTGAATCTGGAGGACGATGTTGAAAAGCTCTTATATGTCCTTTGGCTCAGTACGTCCTTTGACGGAGGCGCGTGGGGCGGCTGTCACAGAGCGCTGTGGGTCGTCTGGTTGGCGGGCGGCTCTTCTCCTTTGAGATTGTGAAACGGGCGCGTCGCTGCCTATGTATAGCAGGCGAGTGCGATTGCAGAGAGACAGACAAAGACTCTGTGTGAAGGGCGAGCAGGTGAAGGAGCGACAGAAAAGAAAGAAAAGGCCGGTTGTACTTATTGCATGACGGTGCTGGCGGTGAGTCGCTCGCCGGGCTGCCCTGATCTGATTCCTCAAACGCGTGCCAAACGTCATTAGCAGTAAAAGTTCCGGCCGGGGCTGGGCTGTGCACCGCCACAGCTACGTTGGTCGCGCTTGCCCGACTGCAGCCACGCCGCCCAACCAGCCCTCAGGCTCGAAGCTCTGGTGATAGCCAGCATCCACACATACTAGAGATAATAGACGTCGCGCTACATACCCGTATCTTTCTTCCCCATTCTTCTTGCGGCTGTGTACGCCTCTACTACCCGCCGCCACCTTCTAGACCACGCGCCGCTACGGACCAGCTGTCTGACGCCCTGCCCTCAAGCTCCCCACCCGCTCCTCACATGCTGCGCGACACGGGCCAGAATTACCACCGCAATGACAAACACAAAGATGGCGCTAGTTGACTGGCTGGATGACTTGTGCGTCCGCTTCATCGTCAACCTCCCCAACGAAGAGCTCCAGTCGGTGGAGCGAATATGCTTTCAGATCGAGGAAGCGCAATGGTTCTACGAAGACTTCATCCGTCCGCTGGACCCCAACAATCTGCCGTCTATGCATTTGCGCAAGTTCTCGCAGCTCATGTTCCAGCACTGTCCGCTGTTCTCGGCCTACTCAGAAGAGCTCCACCAGCAGGCGTACGAGCAGTTCCTCGCCTACAAGACACGCGTACCTGTCCGCGGCGCGATAATGCTGAATGAGGACATGACACACGCCGTCCTGGTCAAGGGATGGAAGAAGGGCGCAAAGTGGAGTTTCCCAAGAGGAAAGATCAACAAAGAGGAGGCAGACTTGGACTGCGCAGTAAGAGAGGTCTACGAAGAGACAGGCTTTGATTTGAAGGAGGCCAACTTGGTAGAACTAGACGAGCACATGAAGAAGATCACTGTCACCATGCGCGAACAGAGCATGATGCTCTACGTCTTCCGTGGCGTGCCCATGGACGCATACTTCGAGCCGCGCACGAGGAAGGAGATTTCCAAGATCGACTGGTACAAGTTGACGGACCTCCCCACCCTCAGACGCAAGAATCAAGTACAACAGCAAGGGCCGGGGAATGATTTGATAAAGGAGAGCAGCTTCTATATGGTTGCGCCTTTCCTCGGACCGCTCAGGTCTTGGATAAAGCAGCAGCACAAACTCGACAGGCACAGGGTTAGGAATAGCGCACATCTAGCCCCGCCTGTCGCTATCACAGACGACGAGGACCTGCAGCCTGACATCTACGAGACAACCGCTGACGAAGCTCCTCCGGTCGCAGAAACGCAACCTACGGACAACTTCGCCAATCTCGTTGCCCAACTAGGCCGGAATCATCGTCCGAGCGATACCCTGCCAGAAGTGTCGATGCAGCAACAGATTCAATCACCCGTGGATCCTGCAGCAGAGCTCAAGCGACTGCTGAGCGTGGGTATGGACATGACATCACCTCCTGTGGAGGCACCCAGTGCTGCAACACCTAGCCACGCCCAAGCAAACCCGCTGCTAGCTTTGTTTCGACAAGGCAGCGGCCAGGCTACAGGCCCTCGAGTGCCTTTGCCGCAAACTCCGATCGAACAAGTCATGTCTCCGCCAACGCAGCCTCAGAGCCCCCATGGGCAACACTACCCTCGACCACCGCAGAATTACAACATGCCCCCGCCTCCTTTTCCTTTCCCACCGCACCCTCAAGATCTACCAATCCACGGCCTTCCACAGTATTTCAATGGCATGCCTACGCACATGTCGCCCCAGTACATGCCTCCTCCACCACAGGCACCAAACATGCAGCAAGCGTTCGACCAAAGAAACCCGCGGGCACCATTGCAACAGGCCAGTGGCTCTCATTTTACTGAAGGACAAGGGCGACCAGCGATACCGCCTGCATCGAACTTGCCTGCCCCAAATCTTTCCGCGCATACCCAAGGGCTGTTGAATAGCTTCAGGATCAACGAACAGAAGCCAGCGCCCGCCCCATCATCCGCAACCATTCCAACTCAAGTGCAACGAAGCTCGCAAACTACGCCAAGGATACAGCATCCCCTTCCTCAACACCGCCCGCATGACCTTGTCTCGCCTCAGAGCCAATATGCACCTAGTCCTCCTCAGTTTAAATCGCCTCCAGTCAACTCCAATTTTCTGCCAGTGCAACCGAAGCCAAGGTCCATGCATCAAGATTCTCTGTTGACACTCTTCAGAACCACGCCCCCAGTAGCGAGTCCGGAGCCTGCTGAGCTCTCAGCTCATCCTACGACTCCAGCCTATGTGTCTGCACAACCGGCTGCGAATTCTTCAAGGTTTCCTAATCCAGGTCTCCTTGAATCTTTTGGTACACTACCCACGAAAAAGGACATGACATCGGCTACGGTTAGTGGGCCTGTGAATGCGCCGGATTTCGATACCATGAAGAAGAACACGCAACATCATCTGAGTGGGAGTTCACGTGGGCCATCGCCGGCAACGCAGATGCCATTCATGCCTCAACAGATCTTGAAACGCGAACAGACAAAGGCAGCGCCTCGAAGCCCTTCAGACCTTCCTAATGCCGCACAGAACGGACCCCCGCAGCCTGCTGCGAAGGTCTCCGGCCCACCACAAACAACGTTCAAACCTCAGATCTTAAAGCGGCCTCAACAGCAACAGCAGCCGACTGTCGCGCTAGCACCGGTACCCAGGCCAAACGCCCATGCACAAGGGTTACTCGACATGTTCAAGGGTCCTTCTCCGCAGCCAGCACCAGCCCAGCCTGTATTACCGACACGTTCCCCTGCGCCTGTAACAGCACCGCTCACTTCAGACCGACGCGAATCCGTCCCTCACGAACAAAAGTCTGCCCTACTTGCCCTCTTCGGTAGCAAAACCTCACCCGGTCCCCAACAATCACGATCCCCTATTCCTCCCACACGCTCTCCATTCCCACCGACCCCCAAAACCTCAATGTCCGGCCTTATTAGTCCCGTTAGTCCGCTACCTACGAATGGAAGCCAGACTGCTAGCCCTGCCGGTCTAGCGAGTAGGAGCAGGATATCGAGTATTGGGGATGGCGGAGCGCCGACTATTGAATTGGCTTCTCCGCCGACGAGTCATCCGACATCTGTAGCACAGGGTGGTGTTGGTTTGGGGAACGCAGGTGGGCTAGGAGGACAGGTCAAAGTGCGCGACGAGGGAAAGAGCCCGGTAGACAAGACGTTTTTGCTTGGGTTCCTGGAGGATGTCGCGAGGAGGGGACGGTGATGAACATGTACTTTTAAGGGCGTTTAGTTGGGTGATGTGGTCCAGTACTCTTGAGACGATATATTGTAATGGAGTTCCGAAGATAGTTTGGATACGGCTATTGCAGGAACACCTTCCGGCTAGAGGGAGAATTTACTAAGACACCGTCATCTTCGTGCTATTTTTTTTTCACTAGATACCTCTACTCATGGCTTATGTACTCAGATGTAGTTGTCAGGGCTAAATTCGTGATCGACTACATATCAAACACGAGTGAAGCAAGTCCATGCAAGCTGTCACCCACGAGTCTAGACAAACAGGCTAAACTTGAACTATTCGTTGCAGGAAAGAATCTGAAAAGCCATCACGGGACGAGAAAGACGATGACTTTGAGATATTACTTCGTAGCATTTCCAAGCCAAAGAATCAATGAACAATATACAAACAGCGGGGCTGGCTAGAGTTACAATTTCCCAACGCGCATTCTTTCTCTCTGAAGTTGTGTGCGCGCTGCAGATGCTGATAGGTAGGGTACTAGTAGGAAAACTATGGTTGGACAGTAAAAAAGGAAAGCCGTTTACCGCACGAGCGAGTGAGAGAGCGTGGGACATCATGCAGAATCACAGCGCAGCGTTCTTCCTCCCCATATCCAGCACCTCACTGGGCACTTCACTTCTCACGCTGAACCTCACTTCCGTTCCAGGATGGGCTTTGAAGATGGGGGCCGTCTGTACCGTCGTCGTTGTATCGTGTCGCTGATGCTTGATGTCTTTTCCCGGCAGGCTGCTCGCGCGAGCGTCCTTTGACTTCTTAGGCACGGCGGGCATCTCTGGGACTTGATCGACGTCGTCGCCCTCTCCCGAGGAAGTGGAGGACTGCGTCATGCGGAACTGCTGTTTGAGTCGCTGCTCCTCTACTCGATTCGACTGCTGTTTGACCCACGAGTCGACGGTGCGGAAGCGCCCAACGGACGAACGCTGTGTCATGAAGCTGTCCCGTCCTATTGGTTGGGCTACCGTGTCGCGCGAAGGGTCGTGGGGCGTCTGGGGTGCGTTGGAATTGGTCCAGCTGAATCTGCTCATCATGGCTCCTCCAAGGCCGGGCCGGTGGGATATAGACGGCCGGTTGGAAAGGAACTGTCTGAATGTGGGGGCCGGTGGCAATGCTCGCTGCTGTGGCGAGTCGGAATACTGTAGGGCTTCTTCGTCGCCGTTTAGTGATCTCGTGTTGCGCGTTGAAGCACTTCGTCGCATGCTCTGGATGGGAAGTATAGGCGAGGAAGGAGTTGCGCTGATGTCGCGACGGTGCGAGTCTTGCCGGGAGGGAGTACTGTTGTAAAAGCTCCTATTTCCTAAACCACCACTTTCAAGATTTCGTTGGCTGGCACTTCGACCGAGAGCTTGCAAGGGTGTCTTTGTCGATAGTGAACCTGACCGGGATTTGATTGCAGCTGGTATAGGTGGAAGCACTGATTTGTTCTTTGCGTTTGCATAGTCGTCGTCGTACGATTGCTTGTTGTCCATGTCGTATTTGGGTGGAGGTGGAGGACCACGGTTCATTCGGTTCTTGGCCCGCTGCACAACATCCCTGGTTGAGAGACCACGCTTTCGCATTGTATAGATGGCCAGTATAATCATAACAATGACGATAGTCGCACCTACGGGGCGTAAGTAAAGGGGCCCATAGCGGTAAAGATAGATGCTCACCAATTGAGCCAGCAGCTATGAGCAAGTGCTCGGTTGTTCGAGAGATTCCTCCCTCGCGATCACTGGATGGTGGTCTTTGTGGCGCTAAAGCTATAGTAGCTTGGGGCCCGGCCACAGTCATAGTGACCAAAAGCTACTCACGTCAGTTACCATTGTGCTAATTTTCCCTGTTCTTCTTACAGCAGGGGTTCCCGTTGGAATCGTGAGCGTCGGGGTCGTGCGTATCGTTGGAGTCGTCGAAGCATGATCGTCCTCATCATCGCTTTCATCGTCTGTGTCTGTAGGGGAAGGTTGCTGTCGTCGGGTGAAGGAGCGTCGTCGGTGGATTCGGTCCACGGTTGCTGTAGGCTTCTCCAGCTCGATGCCGTCAAATGGACCCGCCTTCCTCACACCGTCTCTTTTGACAACAACGTATTCCACTCCATCATACACTCCGCGGCGCCTTGGATTGGGCATTGTATTCAGGTTGGATAGTTCAGGATGGGGATGACCCTGTCAGTCTTCCTGCCGCTGCACCAAACCACATCTGCAAGTCGTCCGGCGATGATGTCCCTCGCGATCGAAGTAAAGTACAGTCCCAAACCTGCAGGACCGTGACCAGCGTAGTCAGAAAGGAACGTGGGGTGGAAGGAAAGTAGGAAGATATTAGCAACGACAGCCCGCCTGCGGAACGAAGGAGAGAAAGAAAGTAAGTCAGCAGAGATGCAGCAAAAGGCTGGGCGAACGCTCAAGACGGGACATGATGATGCGACAGCAAAGGATCACATTTGAGAAAGCGCATGAATAACGCGACGGTGAGTCGCTTCTCGTGCTATGTCTGCGTGTGTTTGAGAAGGGCCGCAAAGGTGGATGCGCCGCTATGACGAGAGAGGCTGTTTAGCACCAACTATGTCGCTCGAGCTGCTACAAACGGCGAATTAGAGGGTGCTTGAAAGGCCTAAATTGCCTAGATGTAGTAAATCGTTCATACTAAGGTGCATAAAGTTGTCGTGGGGCCTCGGGACCTGTCTTGGGACTGTCTCAGGGCAACCAGGTCGCGTTTCAACGTCCACTCCTGGGACAAATGCGACGCCACAGGGGCATCATGAGACAAGCGATAGCTTTGCGGTTATTAGAGTGTGCGTGAGAAGGATTAAGGTGGTGGAACCCGATGTTCACCCTTCCCCGCATCACGCCGGCAATAGTCCCACAGGAGGAGATGAGGTGAAATTGCAAAGGACTCGTCGCGGTAGCACAGGTGCTGATGGCGTTGGAGTAGCCACTGTGTTGTGGAAGAGGATGCTGCGCCTCAGATGGCATTCGGAGGCGCAGCACACGGGCGACGCGGCATTCGGAGCCCAGACGGAGCGAAGGTCCGCCGAGGCACGTGCAACAACTGTTCAGCGTCTTGAAGCAAGACACGACATGTTTCGCACAGAGACTCGAGCGGACGAATGTGTTGTCTGTCGAAGTCGGCGTGAGCGCACAGAACCTGCAACGAGTATGGAATCGGCCTTCGGCAACTAGCATGACCGGCGGTAGCGACACCACGCATCCTGTTTGTTTGCGCGCTACCTACTCTTACTCAGCAGGTACAAACAAAGTTTGGCGGAGGGAGGCTCGGATATAGCGGCGCCCGCTAGGCTATAGCCGGATGAGCGCCTGTTCGTACGTGAGGATGGCTGAGGCTGAGTTCAGCTCCAACAGTCGTTGAGTTGCTCCGCCTCGCCGTAGATTGGTTCAGTCATCAGGTCGCATTAGGTGCTGTAGGCTGAATACGTGAAGAATATAAGACTGCTGTGTCTGTTCGTGTCTGCTGAGTCCTTCTTGCCATCAATTCACAACTTTGCCATTCGCCTCCATCTTACGTCAATCGACCATTGCGCGTTCCGCAGCTTACCAGATACCCCACTCTCCACCCCTCATCAGCGCATATACGGCACAGGTCCATCTTCTCTGTTCAACCACCAATCCTACACACTACACACTACACAACTGCAATCACCATGTCGGGTCCTTACGATCAGTACAACCAGGGCTACCAGCAGCAGTACCCGCCTCAGGGCCAGATCCCATATCCCCAGCAGCCCGGCCACGACCAGGGTGGTTACCAGCAGCCCGGCTATCCGCCTCAGCAGCAGCAACAGCAAGGGGGTTACTACAATGGCGAACAACAAAACTACAACCAGCAATACGGCGCGCCTGCCAATGGTGGCTTCCAGCATGGCCAGCAAGTAGCGCCTTATGATCAACAACAGCAAGGGTAAGACATGCCCAATAATCCAGTTGTTTCCAGCAAAAATATCTGACTTGCAGAAACAGGCAATACGGACAGCAACCTCAGTACGGACAGCAAAGTCAATATCCCGCGGCGCAGCCTCAGAACCAATTTCCACAACAAGGTGCCTATGCCCAAGACCAGTACCCTCAAGGCCAGGGCCCCAACGCATATGGTCAGCCTCCTCAGCATGGTCAGCCTGGACAGCCCGGCCAACCGCCATTCGGTTCTACAGACCCCAACGCACAGGCCGAGGGCGACCGAGGCATGATGGGCGCCCTTGGTGGTGGTGCCGCGGGATACTTTGGCGGAAACAAGATGGGTGGCCACGGCATCATCGGAGCCATTGCCGGCGCCGTACTCGGCAGCAAGCTCGAGGACAAAGCCAAGAAGCCCAAGCACAGCCAGGGCGGCTGGTAACCACTATATGGGAGTGTGTTTCGACAATTTGTATTCTGCGGTGGTGGTACACCAGTCCTCCTGGAGTTTCGGTTCCTTTTCACGGTTCTTCTACAAGCATCATGTTGCCCCACGGGGTCTTTGGGATCCGGTAAGGTTAGACGACTGAAATGAAATAATTCCAATTCCAAAAATCCTACTCAAAGCGGATCATGGAGTCTCCTCTTCCGAAACATACTCACTTTGCTAATTAGCGTCCTTTTTTTCGGGTTGCTCGGCATCTACCCTGGATGATTGCAAACCCCTCGATCAACATCCCCTCAATCTTACCAGCAGACATCCAAAAACGCGAAACGAAACATTCCTCTAGTCCCGACTGGACATTGCTCCTCACTCCGTCGTCCTGATTGGAGGAAAGTCCCGAAACGCGCGGAAATTACTACAAGTGGACGTCGAAACAGAACATGTTTGGAGTGGGCACAGTGAGTAATGCGGACCCCAAGAAGTCGGTGCTATAAACCCTATGCTTGAGATTCATACACAGTTTGAAGTGCGTAAGCAAGTGCGTAAGTAGAGATCCGCTCCGGCAACTCCAATCACCGTAGCTCAATTCTCTCCTCCTCCATATCGTCGTCATCGTTATCCTCCTTTTCAATCTTCCCACAAGGAAACGCACACTCCATCCTCCGCTCCTGCATCCCGTTAGCTTTCATACTCAACCAAACGTTACACTGAAGTCTCAAAAACATACCCTAGTTTTCACCGATACACCATCCAAGATACTTGAATCCCACTCTCCAACCTCACACCACGCCTCTCTCCGTTCCTTGTCTTCTACATGATCATCCGCACTCGTCCAACTCACCCCATCGCTTTCAAATCTCAATTCATCATCACTGCTGCTGCTGATACTGCTGTCTGGAGCCCTAACCGTCATATTCGTACCATCAAGCAGCCCTTCAATAGCAAAGACTTGGTTCTGCGAGATCTTGCTGTAGCTGTGGAACGCCGCTGTGGGACGGAGGTGCGCGATGTCGATGATCAGGCCGTTTGCATGGTCGGTTAGGGTGTTGATTTGGATGTAGTTTATTGCCTTGCTGCGTGGTGGTGCGTTGGAAGATGAGGATGATGATGTGGAGCGCGAAGAGGGGTTGTAGAGTTGTTTATGCCAGAGCGTAAAGGTGCATTTGTCGTGGAGGGTGGTGGGGGATAGTAGAGAGGGAGATTGATGGGGAGGCACGACGCGGGCGCCTGTAGAAGATACGATGAAGAAGATGGAGTGGAGGATGGCCAGCGCGTTATGCATTTTGGGATAACCTTCAATGTGATCTTCAGATAGGAGTATATGTAGAAGTATACAGCCAATGAGTAAGTGATGAATGGAAATGGAAATGTCCCCTGGAAACCGAAAAGGACAGAGACAATCGAGCTTGAAATACTCTAATGTTTACACAGCCTTGACTACGACGCGCTACCAACATGTTGGGCGTCCTATTCTGCGGTGCTCCCGACATGGTGGTCGCCAGCGTCTGGCTATGCGGGGTTGCGGCGTATGCAACGGATATAGTGCATGTTAGCGGCAACCATTGAATCTGTCCACTCGGAACTTTTACAGACCGTGAACCAACAATAGGTGAGGGCGGCGCGGAGGTAATCTTATGCGGATTATGGGGCGGTGTTATCAGGTTAATCTGATAGGAAAAAAGGTGTAGTTATCGTGGCTAGCACAGTATGAGAGTGTCAAGAGTTTGAATCATTAAGTGTATATAAGCTCCGGGGTATGTAAAATGACTGCCTATTACCAAAACGCCATTCCTATTCCCTCATCGGTTGCCAAATGTCCAAACATCCTTTCCGCCAAACCACTCATGTTCGACAGGCCCAACATCAGCCGCCTTGTAACACCGTCCACACCCTTCTCCCCTCTCCGCTTTACAAAGGCAAGCCACCTTCTCGTCCTTTTGCTCAATAGGCTGCATCATCCTCTCCTCCAACCACCTCGCCAACTCTGGATTCGCACTACCTCCCACTTTGGCAACCTTGACACCCCTCACACCCGTGAACAATCGTAGAAAAGAGGCGTCGCAGCCATCAAACATGGTCTGCCACGCGCGTATCTCGAGATACTCGGCGCCAGAGAACGCAGCCGTGGCTTGGTCCATGTTGAAGCACGGGTCTGTATCGAGGCGGATAGTGAGTTGCCAGCGCTTGATCTTGGAGATCACAGAGGGGCAGACGATGGGGCTTGCCGCTGAGATGAGATGCGGAAGCGAGGTAAGGAGCGACGAATGGGCGTGGAAGACGTGAGTTTTGTAGAGAAGGTCTGTGGCTTCATCGTGGATTTTGCGGCACGTGGCTAGTATGGCTGGGTACACGGCCTCGGGCGTAGGCGCAGGATGGGTACTCTGTGCCAGCTCTTTTAATTTTGGTACGTCGGGACAGAGGAGTGCCTTGTATATCTCATGCCGTAGCTCCGCGGGCAAGCGAAAGAAGACGGATTCTTGTTGTCCGTCTACGTATCCGGTGGGCACGAAATGGCGTGGAGCAGTAGATATAGAATGGTGGTGAGCCGGTGGCTCGTTGTTGGTTTGTGGCTGGGGGTTCCATCCGGCGCAATGCACCGTTGGCTTGGTGAAGTGTGCTGCGTAGTAGTAGGCGATTGCCATATTTGATTCTTCTGGCGATTGTGTTCGTTGTTGTGGCTTCGAGTTTTTCTCAATTCGTGTTGGAGTTCAAGTCTGGAACTGAAATCGATATTTAAATAATAATTGATTTTCGCACAGATAAATGAAACTGTGTATATGTATCGCACACAGGTCTTGGGCGAAGATGTAGTAGTATGTTTAAAGTCCAAACCAAAGCTGGTATGGTCGTTTGATGTGGGTATGCGTAGTCGATGTAGATGTTTTCGCTCTCTTCGGCCTTGCTGATGTGATCAGACCGTCCTGAATGCGCCAGCGCTTTTATATAAACTCCTCAGGAAGCATTGATCACAATCACGTTGTCGATAAACGATGTTGAGTTGTTTTACCATCCATGCACTATCACGCTGTTTTCGTCAGCGATCGAATCGGACCGATCTGCGCTGGCCTGATACGACGAGGCGGGAGGATATCGCGCCACATTTCTGGGCGTATCCGGGTGTATCACTCCACCCCTTGTACTCCTGAATCTGTCTGGCCCGCTGAGCCTCATCCATCTGCACATCGGGCGAATTTTTGATTACTAGAGATTCTCGTCTATCTCGCATTCAGACAAAGGTAGCCTTGTTGCTAGTATCAAAGGTTGGAGTTCGATTCAGCGTGCGGGGGTTGATCAGAAGAATTGCCCTCCCACCTCACTTTTCAGAGTATCCTACCATTCCTGCGCAAGAAACTTGCCGACAACGTGGACCCTGATTGTTGAGCAACCTATCCACAATTCCCTTTGTACCTCGCGCGCTAACAGGTTGAGCCTCTCTTCATTATCTTCCGCTGCGACGTAGTGGTGTGATCAGGCTTGCCGCGATCTCCGAGGATCTCGCATGCATGTTGCGGTGAGCCAAAAACGGTACCATTCTCGCTCTTTGCTCGGAATCCACCACGGCCTCGAACCACGACCTAAAAAAAGGAAATTGCTTGTATTTTGTTTTGCTGTTCCATATCGCTACTGTACAAAAGAAGATATTCGTAAGTGTCGTACATTATGATGTCAATGTTATTCAACGGGGTATGTTGCAAAAGAAGTCCGAGTCATCTCCTCCCTCAAACCAAGTTCCTGTTCCCGTCCTTGTAACCAGCCTGAATTTTCGGTCATCGATCATATAGTAATCTGAGTCATGGTTCCTTTCGCATCGTTCCACCTATTCGACATCGCCGGGGCATCGCCAATTCTCTCATACCATCATTCCTACAACACCAACGCCCACAGCAGCTGCGACTCCCCTCCAGCCCGCTGCCTCCGTAGGCGCCGCCCCCAACATCACCGTCTTCGTCTGGCCAGGCTCACCTGTCAGCGTGCCCATACCAATCTCTCCCTTGCCCGGCAGTAGAGGCGCGGTCATATCCTTGAAGTGGAACGAGATGGTCTTTGGAACCCACGTCTGGGATGTTCCGCCGATCCACGTTTCGACCCATTGAACGGTGACGAAGTCATTCACGTCTGGCGCTGCGAGGGGTGCCGCGGCTGTGGTTAAGGCAGGCGCGGCAGGATTGACGGGAACTGCGGCGGGAGGCACTGCGGGAGCAATTTGGTTGGCGGGTGGTGCGACAACTGTGGATGTAGCTGGCACAGTCGCTGCTGCGGATACGTCGACACCGAGGGACGAGGAGGAAGGCGAAGCTATGGAGGAAGGTGAGGACGGTGAGGACGGTGAGGAAGAAGAGGAATCAACTGAAACGGGAGCTACTGCAGGTGCCAGGTTGCCAGCAGGCACCGCCGGATTCTCAGGAGCTGACTGTGGAACAAGACCCGGATCTACTGGAGGTGCAGCGTTGGCTGGGGTAAGACCTGGCGCTTGACGGAGCCTGGTTCAATGTGAGCTTCCAGTATGTTGACTAGAATCTGACCCAGGGTGTTACCTACTCGAGAATCTCTCCGATGGATACCCCTGTTGCGGCAGGGGATCCAGATGTTGGCACTGAGGCAGGACTCGCCTGTACTATACTTGAAGCGCCTGCGGAGTCCTGGAGGTACGCATCGTCTTTGAACAGCCTACAGACTGCCAATGCAGGGAAAAGCAGCGCCGCGAACGTATACGAGCGCATCGTGCTGGGCGCCAGAGAATAGAAAGCTGATATGAGAGCTGATCGAAGCTCTATTAGTAGGCTTCGAGTCTACGCGGTTTGGGAATCTAGACTGCTAATGTAGGTTGGACGCGATTTGTCGCCGAAGGTGGGTGATGTAGCTGTAATGGTTACATTCAAGCTATAGCGAGCCGCTGTGAAATCTTGTACGGTATTGTATTGTGTTCGGTGTGTAATGTCTCACCCGTGAGCCAAAATGTGATATAGTAGCGAGCCAGCGGGTAACGAGCCAAAACGAAAGAGTGTAGAGGTGAATATGAGAAGTCAAGATAGAGTTGGAGGTGAGGAATGCATACGCAAACACTGGACCCTGGAAGCCTCGATGGGGCCGAAGGAAGAGCAGCACATAAACCATAGCAAGAGCTATCCTATCCATGCTGCATAAATCTATAATTCTTTCCTAAGTGAGTTTGTCTGGTTTCTGTGCTATACCGCATCATCTCGACGAACTGGTCATTGACTGACATCCGAACCTTGGTAGTGTTTGTTACTCTGGGAACGATCCAGGGTAAGTACCTAGTAGAATCATAGACAGTACTTCGAAAGCTCCTCTATCTTGCCTCATATGCTACAAACCCAGGTGAAGACTCCTACACATGACTACACGACCCATGGCCTAAGAGTAAAAAGTAAAACACCCGCAAATCGAAGTTCGCTTCTCCACGCAACATTCAGGCATAAACACGCTAATATACCTTCACCCCCAACACAACAACGACGTAGCGCGATCGGTTCCCCTTCATTCCCAACTAACCGACGGAAGGCTAGTATAACCCCTTCGCTCCACTTTCGCGGAGAATTATTGAATCCTGCCGAAATCCCGCGTGCCGGGCCGGGAAATTAAGCCTTTCTAGTCCTTCGCGTGTGCTACCGGAACTAGCAAGGGCGGCATTGGCAGAAAAGCTTGTAAGGCATTGGAAACCCCCCCAATTAAAAAAAGAATAAAATAAAATCAGGGATACAGGAATGGTGGGTGAGACAATGTGAGACAAATTGATGAGAATGGGGAGGGAACGTGAGGGATGAGTTTGGAGAGAAAGGGGGGGTGGTGGTAGGTAGCGGCGATTGAGGTGTTTTGGGTATAGGGGAAAAAAGCATGGGGTTTGGGCATTTGCTATGCACGACTCGATGCATACCATGGACATAAATGCCAAGGCTAAAACAAATTATAAACACGGGCGCACATACACCTGCTAAAACTATGCCAACAAACGCCGTAACAACCTCAAAATAGCCATCGTATTTCGCAATAGCAATAACTGCGTTACTAGTCTACATGTTTTTTCTTCTCCCTTCACCCTTCATACCTATCGCGAGGCAATAGAGAGGAGGAAATTTTTTAGAAAAGGAGATTTACTACCTTGGAATTACCGCGCGGCCTTAATTCCTTAATTCCCAACTGTTCCCGAAATCGAACAAAATAATAGCTTAAATAAATGTTATTATCTACTAGAGTCTTGCTAGCATTTTGGAACTAGCCCTAACTAGCGTAATAGAAAAGGGCTGCTTTAAGAAGTACATACGTAAACAAGTAAGTTTAGTCCTAGTAATATAGTATATATAACTAGCGACAGCAAATGACAGCGCCAAGTGTAAAGCAGTGTAGAAAAGTAATTATTTAAAACGGGTTTTTACTAGCTACCTATTAAGCTAAGTCCTTAACCAACAAACAGCAAGTAGGTAAAAAACAGTTAGTTAGCTAGTTTAGTGTAGTATCTTTATAGTACAATGCAATAAGAAAACCCCTATGCAGAATAAATAAAAAGAAGGAAAAGAAGTAAGCAAAGTGCTAATAAGCCCTCTGCGCAGCTAACTAAAGAAGCAAAAATAAAGCAAAAGAAAGAGTCTAACTATGCAGTCCCTCTTCGCGCTAAAAAAAAAAGTATATATACAAGAAAGTTGTAAGTTAAACTACTATATAGTAAGTGTATCTAAAAAGGGGAGTATTTAGAATGTATAAAAGAACGCTAATATAAAAGTTTGTAAAACTTATAAAGCCCTAAGAAAAAAAATAAAGAAAGAAGAGGGTTTTTTTTTAATACCTCTGTAGCCGAAGAAAAAAAGTAAAAAACTTAATTATGTAGTATTTAGAGATCGGGCATTACTAGGCTAGAGCCTATTATTAGGAAAATTCAACTTAAGTATAGTAAGCTAGGTAGGCCCTAGTAGCTAGCAATCTGCACAACTAAGATATTTACTATATTTACCCTACACTTACTTTTTAGTTTTAGCCTACTATTGCGTACCCTAGCTAGCGCTGCTTAACTATTTTATATAGTTTACTTGTGCTACTTATGTCGCCTATATTATTAGTATTGCCTATATTGCTAGTGTCGCTTATGTCGCTAGTGTCGCCTATATTGCTAGTATTGCCTATATTGCTAGTATTACCTGCTTTAATAGTATTGCCTGCTTTAATAAGATTGCAGAAATAGGCAAGCTTGCTTATAGCGCCTAACTATATTATATATTAGGTAAGGGTTGTATATGCAAGTTCTGCTTAATAGCTCCTATAGTAGTATGCGTTTTACTAGGTTTAAGCGCCTATTGCAAACTTCTAAGTAGAATTTAGAGTTTTGCCCTATTTTATTGTCTTCTATAGTTCTATACTGTATACACTAGCTGCAATTATAGTATAATTAATAAGGCATATTAATAGTTATATTATTAAACTACTACTAAAGTAAACTATTATATACTTATATAGGGCTATTCTTAGTTGCATGCTCGTTTACTTATACTTTATATATATTAGCCTGTTCTTAATACTTAGTTAGCTTCTGCTTTTATTTGTCCTTTATAAGTATAATAACTGTTATATATAGTCTAGCATAGTACTTCTTTTAGGCTAGTTTAGTAAAAGTATACTAGTTTATATCTATAATAATACTCTATTTACTATTACTATTTTAAAACTAGGCCTAGGCGTTATTATTTAGTTTATATATTTGCATAAAGCTTGCAGCGCTTATATTATAGTTAAAGTTAACTTTAATTATATTACTAAACAAGAGGCGTACTTAGATATGTGTTTATATAAGTAAACTTAGTTAGTATTATTAATAGTAGTTGCGTATATAGTACTGTACTTTTATATTCTCTATATAACGTATTTTAACTTAGTTAGAGTAAAGTTGCTACTCTTCTTTATATTATTAAGCTAACTGCATATAATACTCCCTTTCTTCTAGATTATATGTAGCAATAATGTTGTTAATATTATTATTATATTAATTATTTTTAATAGCTATAGCAAGTTTATTATTATTATTATTATTTATATATATAGTAATCTCTTTGCGCAGTGCTTTTTATATAATAAGCTGCCTTAATAAACTTAGCTAGTTTTATTTTTAGCAAATAGCATTATAGTTTGCTATGTCTTATTAATTATGCGCTATATACTATTTTGTGTATACTTACCTTCTATTATATAACTATAAAATAGTATAGTTTTTCTAGCACTAGCTTTAGCGTACTTATTAATAGCGTAGTATATTATTGTACTTACTAGTGCTATAGTATTTGCGCTTAGTGTCTAGAAGTAGTCTTTTAACTAACTTATAATAGCAAGTCCTTATTTCCTATTTGTGTAAAAAGCTTTAGCAAGTGTAGTAGTAATACTAGAGTATATAAACTATAGCGAATTAGGCTGCAGGTTTATTATTCTTACTTTATATACTTAGGAGATATACTTGCATCCTTTAAGTCCTTTAGTAGGTAGGTAAAATTATCTAAAAGCTAACTAATTATTATACTGCGTTACTCTAGGTATAGCATTATATATACACTTTTAACTTTATTTTTAACTTGTTGCATTACGTGCGTCTTTAAGTTACTAACTATATTTAGTATTTATAATAAAGTATAGTTAACTACTATTTTGCTATAGTAGACTATAGTGCTTACCTATTAAATAGTACTAGGGCATAGCTGTAAAAAGACTGTTTTCTAAACCTGTAGTAGTATTATTTTCTTTACTATTGTCTACGCATTAAGTACAACCTATATAAACTAGTTATAGTAAGAGTTTATTTATAAAGTAATATGTGCCCTATTTGTACTTGTACTATTGTCTGTTATAATTTAAGTTACTAAAATAATTTTAGCTTTAGTAAAAGTACTCTTATATTCTGCTAGTACTTTAACTTTAGCCTAGCGCTTTATATTCTTCTATAGCATATCCTAAAAAAGATTAAACAGGTGCAGTTGTATCTGCGGCAAAGGCTAGGCTACTATCCTTACTATATAATAGAATTAGCTATACTTTCTTTTATAATTATATTGCAAGTACTTAATATATATTAATATTACTATAAAAAAGCTAGTATAGATATATCTCTCTACGCGGCAGTATTAGATATTTTATATTTACTAACTAGCTTTACTCTATTGCAGTTATAGCTAGTTGCAGGTATAAGTATATAGTTGTTTAAAGTTAACGACTATAGACTAGTTAATATTTAGCTACTTAAAGCAGCCCCTTAAGTGCGCTATAAAGCTAATAGTGTTATAATAGCGTTTAATAGTTCTTTAATATCCTTATCTAAACTGTTACTATATACTTAAAATAGCGCTAGAGTATATTTTGTTTTTTATAACTGCTTAGTATTCTAGCTACTAGATACTACAACTAGAACTAACCTTACTACTCCTAGATTTACTAATAGCTTGTTTTTTTTCTATTGTAATATTTCTGTTGCGTAATAATAAATAGGTTCTAGTCTTTATACTTATAGTAGTTAGGTATAATAGTATAGGAGGCACAGACTATAGAACTGCAACAATAAAATAAACCCCTTAGTATTAGTAAAACTCTAGAAAAGGGGGGAAGTAATAATTTCTAAAAAAATAGCTAGTAGGAGCAAAGGCTAAGGTATACGCGTTCCCTATTAGGTATAGCAGGTAGAGCTAATAAACGCTGCAGATTTATTAGTAGAAAAATAGTAGTTTACAGTCTGCTATTAGCATTAACAGTTATTTACTATTAGTATTAGTATTATAGTAATATAGGCTATTTCTATAAACTTAATTACTCTAGGGCACTAGCACTTGTTTGTAATAGTTTGTTAAGTTTATAAAATATATATAAAAATAAATAGATTATATATAGTATTATATAAAGCATAATATAGGAACATTGTAAACTAGGTTAGTATACACAGTAGGAAGGGCAACTACGAGATAAATAGGCAGTTAAATATATAGTATTTAAATTTACACTAGAAGTTTAATTGTAAAGCTTAGTCTGTTTCTTCTTAAATTAACTATATTTTCTAGTGCACTATGCTACTAAGACTTAGTTAATATTTGCATCTGTCCCTAATTATTTCTATTTTTTATATAATAATATATACTATTATTATCTCTTTAAAAGCTAACTTCCTCTTTTAGTATTTTTAAAAATAAAATAAAACTTAGCTTATTAACGTCTAGTATATCTTCCTTAAGGCTAGGTTGCAGCAGCCATCTTATTTGTATAAGTATCTAATTAGAGTTATTTATTATATAGAGCATTATAGTTAATAGTTTGTATATATTGTTAGCGCTACTTAATAGTTTCCTATGCTCTAGCACTATAGGTCTACTGTAGTTTATGTATAATATAGTAGGGTATTTAATATTAGGCAGCGTATATAAACTCTGTGTTTTTTAAATACAAATATATCGCGTAGCATTATAATTATAGTAGATAGCAATTTAGGTAACTGCGCGAAGCTGCTTATAAACAGGCATTTAGTTAAAAATTAAGTTATAGTTTAATATTACAATACTTGTTATCTGTTGTATTTGTTTTTTTATAGATTTTATTTAGAGTAACTAGTATAGTATCTCCTGCAACTTTATGCCTTGTTTAACTTAGGCGTATAATATATTATATTCTTGTTTTATAATACGCAGTTTTTCGCAGAGTTAGTTTATTACTAAGCATACTATATTTCTGCATTTTTGTACTATAGTGTAGGCTTAAGTATTGTTTAGTAAAGTAGAGGGGCTAAGATATTACTATTTATAGATAGT